CAAAAAAAAAAAAAGAAAAAAAAGAAAAAAAAAAGAAAAACTGTTTATACATTTCAATGTTACATTATGCTTAGCTGTAAGATATTGAGAATCGACGAAACAATTATTGTATGTGTACTTTAATCGACAATGCTTATAGATATTTAAAAAGAAAAAAAAAAAAAATAAAAGGAATAGTTAATCGTCTCGTAAAAAAACGCATGGATCATCGCGCGACATGCGATCTCATTAAGCGTAATCATAGATTATACACCGTACCGCTACTCGCAAACATCAACAACAACAACAACAACAACAACAAAAAGAAAAAGTCGAGCGAGAGTAGACGAAAAACGAAAAATACGAACTATATTTTGCCGTGCCAGACGAAAACAAAGCTGCCGCCGCTATCTTGTAGAACATGTTGTAATAATAATAATATCCAGAAAATCACTTAGTGCATTATTATTATCATCATCATTACTGTTATTATTATTATTATTATTACCACTACTATACTTTAGGATTATGTATTCACATGATTATGTATACACTGTACGATTGCCAAAAAACATTAAATGTCTATTCTTTTTTTTTTTTTTTTTTTGTTTTTTAATTAGTCAAGATGTCTGCAGTACCTTGGGCTTGGAGTGCCCTTTAAAACCTGCATGAAGATTGATATTATTAGTTTGTGGATATTTGTGTGGTTTGTTTGCATGATGAGGTGAGGTTAGGAAAAGTTTCAAATAACCTGCAGGTTCCTGAACTCGTTCCGAAACTTTTTGGTTCCGGTTGTTCATTAGGTTATTGTGTTTAGGTAATTTGACCTTGACTTTGAGTGGTGTTTTCGATTTGATAGTTGCCTGTTTCCCTGATGAGCAGGTTTTGATGGTTGTTGTTGTAGGCTCCTGGTAGTGAGTTTTGAATATACTGTTTGATCATGGGGATGTTGGCTAATTAATGGAGCTGTGCTATGATGGATTGTGTCCCTCTGTTTATTGAGAATAATTCTAAAGAATTTGTTTTGTATGATTTGCATTTTGTTGATGTGTCCTTTGGCAGCAGAGGCCCATACTTGATATCCATAAGTAATTATTGGTCTTGTGCATGTTAGGTACAATAAGATGTTTGCTATTTCAGGCTATGGAAGGGTATATCCTGGATAGTGTTGGGTAGACAAGAGTAATTCTTTTTTCTATGACTTTAGCCCATATGAGTTTATTGTCTAGTGTTATTCCTAGGTAATTGACCATGGGATGGAGCGTTCATCGATCAGCACTTTATTTGTGACTTGCAGGGGTCTGCGGGAGAAGGTGATGGCCTGAGTCTTTTTTAGGTTAATTCTTATTCTCAAGTATGGCGTTGATGTGGGTTTGTAAATACTTCATTGCCTGTGTCGGGTTCCATGATGACGTATACGAGTGTTAGTGGTGGTGGGAATGTCGTTAATGTATATACAGAAAAGCGTTGGCCCGAGCATAGAGCCCTGCGGTACTTCGGCCTTCATGGTGTGTGTCTCTGATTTGATTCCTTGTACTGATACATAGAATTATATCTGTCTTGTAAATAGTTTTTGATGATGCTGGTGATTGGGGTGGGAGTTGTGATTTTTCGTAGGGCTTCATGCCAGACCATGTCGAACGCTTTCTAGAAATTGAATAGTATCAGTTGTGTTATCTTATTTTTGTTTAGTTCTATTGTGCTACCTATTTTCCTTTTGCGTTGGTCTTATATAGCTGTGGATTCTATGGTTACGGGATTAGGGAGGTATGCTAGTTGCTTCCAGATGTGAGCGAGGTCGGTACCAGAAAATAGTAGTATTTGCACTTTCTAATGGTCCCAGGATGTGTCCCTCGCAATATGTCTTGGATTTATAGATATCGCAGAAAAGTTGCGACAAAGACATTTGTCGAGCCTTAGAATTGAGAGTCGGGCATGACTACGAAATAAATAATAAGTAAGGAAAAAACATGAGGTCGAGAAAAATCCCTGCCGTCGAGAAATTAGAAATTGGAAAATTGCTTTCCCTGGCTCGATGAATTTGTCCTTCGCGGTATGAATTTCATCCCTATTGTGTTCGGTAAGGCCGAACATTATCGGACATTATGCTACTCCGAACTTTCGAGTCGTTTGCGCGTATAAATTTTTTTGTTTCACTCGTACTTGGATGAAATATATACGTACATGTTGCGACATAATTCGTCGCAGAGCGTCATTAGATTTTCATAATGAGAAACGAGATGAAACATGTGAATTGCTGTCTGCCGAATATATTAGCGCCGTTGCAATAATCCATGATCTTGTCGCGCGAAGTAAAAAACAAGTTTCAATGTCGAGATATAAGTTCTTAATATACCCGCTCGTTTCGTTTCGTTTATTCGATCGTTTTGTCGGAAAAAGAACTAATACTTTCAATTTAAAAGGAAAACTAATTTTTTCGAGTAGAAAATTGTTTTCGTAGAATTATCGCATCGTTTGTATCGGTATGGCCAAGGTATTTTTTTCACACAATGTCGCATCAAAATGCAAGCGGAATAATAGACGTCAGAAAAGAGGTAAGGAATTCTTAAGTGAGAGCAAAGTTTCACGTTTCAACTGCTACAATGTTAAAAGGAACGCATAAGATTTGCCTGTTATTAAAAGCTCTTGAATTATTGATGTAAACTTTATGAACCTCGTGCTTCCAAACTCTAACACTCTTATTTCCATAAGTATAGAATATTTATCCATTTAATCTCCATCGCAATGAACGAAAGGAAGATTTATAAATAGCTTTATAGTTTTATTTCTTGATCCATAAATCTATAAATCTTCTATATTTTTGACACTTAGAATTGCTAAAGTGGTCGAAATAACTATAATTTTTCTTTTATGAGGAATAATAAAATTTTTAACGATTTTAAAACCGTCTAATTTATTGTATCATAAAAGTTCTTTTTTTTTTTTTTTTATTTTAATGTTTCTGATAGACCTGAAGCTTTGGCATTTTATGCAAAATATGATAAAAAAATGACACACGGGAGCATTTTATTACAAAACATATTGCAAAAACGTCGATATTCTCCTTTCACTCTATTATTTAATTGTAGTACTACAAATGAACATGAGGATTTCTCTTTTTTTTTTTTCTTCATGTTTGCACGAATATTTCATCTACGAAAAAGAGAAATTTCTGGCCCCTATATTCTTCTTCGATTCACGTTACCGTTCCCTTTCACGAAAATTTATTCCAGATGTTTATTTTCATTAGTACCGTTACATTACGGCACGGCGTACGCAAACGGCATACTTCTGTAAATACAAATCTAAAATTATTTCCACAAAAATCATCAAATCACGTTATCCGATTCGATCTTTTTCTCTCTCGATCATGATGTGTTCATTCACATGTGCGCATGCACACAGCGCAAATACTTATATAGAAGATAAAAACCAAAATGGATGAAAAGTTCTCTAATTCCCCCTCTACCTTACCCTTCGCTCCATACCGGTGATCACAGTCTCAAATGTTGACATTCGATGAATATTTAAGAAGAACTTTGAGTTACCTTGCGATACAAAGCGATAACGCGTAATACACCGAGTATAAACTATACAACTGTACATACATACATACATACATACGTTCCTAATGGAAATCAAATGAATTTTCGTATCCCCTCCAAGGCGGGAGTGCGACCGCTTGAATAAGCGGCGGCAGCTCGACGAGCGAGCATTCGCTCGTAGAACGTTAGTTTGCAGGTCTCTCTCAGCAAGGCTGAATCGACGAGTACATATAACCCGCAAGTGAGACAAAAGATCGAACAAGGTCCGAAACATCGGAATAGGAAGTCGTCCAGTGACCGTAATATTCAACTCAGTCGAGTTTCACTTCTAACCTGAATTCACAGTCTCGTGGTGGTGCCCCTGGTGGCAACGTGCTTGCCCCCGAAGCATACATTCCCTTAGCCGGGGAGTTAGCTCTAAAACTACGATGATCGAGAGCGAAACTAACGAAGGTACAATCTGCTGAATTTCTGTTATTTTAAGATCATCGTCGGGCTTTAAGTGTCCAGGAGACATTAGCTGCGTCAAGGTGTAACGATATTTCACGCACGTTTCACGGTCGACCGGGGTTACGTGTACTTTCCACTGCAAGAAAATAATCTATTTTGTCACGTATATCGTCACGAGCGCACGACACTAAGAATTTTGTTCACAAATACTGTACTTGTAGAAGGATTGACTGCTAAAGGATATATTGTAATAACGAACCAAATTGATTGACCAGAGTCGAGTATCATGTGGCCGAGAGACGTTGGTATCAAAGCGATAGAGATATACTTTCCTGCTCAGTATGTCGAGCAAACGGAGCTGGAACAGTTTGATGGTGTGTCCGCTGGGAAATACACTATCGGCTTGGGCCAGTGTAGGATGGGTTTCTGCAACGACCGCGAGGACATCAACTCTTTGTGCTTGACGGTTGCGCACCGGTTAATGGACAGGTATGACATAAAGCCAGAGGACATTGGACGATTGGAAGTTGGAACTGAGACCATAATAGACAAGAGCAAGTCAATTAAGTCTGTCCTCATGCAATTGTTTGAACCGTACGACTGCACAGATGTGGAAGGAGCAGACACGACCAACGCTTGCTACGGAGGTACTGCTGCTCTTTTAAACGCTGTGTCTTGGATAGAAAGCAGTGCCTGGGACGGCCGGTTGGCTTTAGTCGTGGCTGGTGACAATGCTGTGTACTCCCCCGGAAGTGCTAGACCAACTGGAGGCGCTGGGGCCGTAGCAATGTTAATTGGACCAGATGCACCTTTAATAATTGACCGTGGAGTAAGGGCATCGTGCATGAAACACGTGTACGATTTTTACAAGCCAAACTTAAAGTCTGAGTATCCCACCGTCGATGGGAAACTATCAGTTTACTGTTACCTTAACGCACTAGATACTTGCTACCAGACTTATCGTAAAAAAGTAAAAAACAAGTATAACTGTGGCGTGAGTCTGAATAGCTTTGATGCGTTTCTATTTCATTCTCCGTATTGTAAGTTAGTGCAAAAGTCATTCGCCAGATTAGCTTTCATTGATTTCTTGAATACATCTAAAAAGGAAGTATCTGAAAAGTATCCAGAATTGGCGCAGTTTCACGATATTAAAGTTGAAGACACATATTTTAATAAAGACATTGAAAAAGTATTTCTAAATTTGAGTAAGCCAGAGTTTCTACAAAAGACGCAACCTTCTTTAATGATAGCAAATCAAGTAGGAAATATGTACACTCCATCTGTATATACTGGATTAGCTTCTTTATTAATTAATAAACCCATAAAGGAATTGGCAGGCACTAAGGTAGGAGTATTTTCATATGGTTCGGGACTCTGTTCTACTATGTATTCGTTAACAATAACAAAAGAATGTAATGAAAAATCAGACTTAATGAAAATTGTCTCCTCGCTTTCTTATATTAAAAAAGAGCTTGACGCTCGCCAAAAGATTTCTCCAGAAGATTATACAAAGGTATTGGAATGGCGTGAACAGAATTGTCACACTGTGCCATTTAGCCCGCAAAGTAGTATTAAAAATATGTTTCCTGGATCTTACTATCTTGTACAAGTGGATGAAAAATATAGAAGAACTTACAACAGAGTATAAAACTTTCAGTTCTTAATTTTAACTTAAAGTTTAGCGAATAAACTGTTTGAGGTATTTTTAATTCTCTAATCAAAATTACAATGGTGCACAATTATGTATATAATTTAAAAAATAAATTAATAACTAGGATATAAAATATATTTTTATTAAACAAAAATTTTCTTAGTGTGCACCAAGAATATTATGAAATGTAAACTTTTAATTTTTTAATCTATAAATATAAATTTATAAATGCAAATTATATACTAAATACATCAATCATTTTCAGAACAGTACTTTTGTTTATATATTTATTTATTGTGTACAGTTTTTAATATATCTATTACACATGTTCTATATCTTTTTTAATTGAAAATAAGAAAGTTATAATTATTGCGTTTCGTTATGTGGAAATAATATAAAAATATATGATTTTCATATAAAAACTTTTTTAAAAAATATTTTCAGTGCACTTTTATAGTTTTTTAATCTGTTAATTATGTGAATATTTAAAGAAAATAATAAAGAATTGGACGTGGTTTATATAAAATATATAATAATATAATATATATATGTATATATAAAAAGTGCCTTAACAAACAATTTTTTTAACTCCTTGGTATTCAATTTCTTGCTTGTACATACTAAATAATTCATTACGCTTGTGACAAGTCAGAATATGAATAGCGTATATTATTCAAATGTATATATTCATATGTACATAAAATATAATATATTAAAAGTTTGTATGTAAAATGATTAATCAATAATTTTGTTACTTATCTTTTGCATATCGATAAGTCAATTGATATGTTAATTATCAAATGTTCGAATTTTTTATATATTTTGTTAAAAAAAGAGAATATTTGTAAAGTGATGTATTGTAATTTACCAGCAGGTATCTACCTTGTAATGTTTATATATGAATGTTAATAAATAATATAAATTTAATATACTGTTTAACTAATATTTTCTTAAATATGTTTCTTTATTTTGATCATTGATTAACAATAAACGAATGTACATTTTATTTTAATAATTTAAATGTTACAACAATATTAGAAAAATAGTAAAATATTAAATTTTTTATTTAGAAAAATATATTAATCATTTGTTCCTTTTGAGATTCATTAAAAATAAATACGAGCATTTACTTCTGTTACATTTATATATGATTGAACTATGTAATTGCGATAGAGTATTATAAAGTATAAAACGTTCGTATTTACAAATCTATACATTTAAAATACTCAATCTTAAGTCTCTAGCAAAATTGTAGTTGCAAATTCAGATTAATTGAATCTATAGTGAGTTCTTCTGTCGTTATGATGTACTAACTCACTTTTTTAATATCACATTTGGATCATTATAAAAATATATATTACTTTTCCACTTTATATACAAATTTTAACTTAGAAAGAGTATGTATACCCTCTCATTTGTTCAAAAAGTACTACCTAAAATATTTTGTATGAACAACTTGAACAGGAAGACAATTTTCTACTTGCACCAAGTCTAACAACTTCATCTCCATTGGCATTTATTTGGCGATTTTCGTGTCTTCTCTGGAAACAAATAAAAATCATATGAATTTCTTTAAATTGTATTGTGTTAATTTATATTGTACATACTTGTATAAAAACAAATGCTTACTTTAAGTTCAGATGCCAAATAAAAAAATACAGAATCTATATTGGTATTTTCTTTGGCTGACGTTTCTACTACTTGCAACACCTCGGGAAGATACTGACAAAGAGCTTCTGCTTCTCCTTTTTCAACTTCTCGCAGACTTTCTAAATCACATTTATTGCCTAGAAATTTTTTGTTCGTTAATATATGTAATAGTCAAAGTGTAAATTCGAACAAGATGTACGAACAGGACTAAATCTCACCCACTAAAATTAATAACACATGTGATGAAGTATACCTTCGTACTTCCTCGACCCAATGTTGTAAGCTCAAGAATGTGGATTTTTTTGTAATGTCATAAACTAAAAGTTATTTATAAGTATTAGAAAGGTCTACAGAGGAAACAAAAGTTGATATTTCTTACATACCAACAACAACACCGTTAGCAGATCTATAGTAACTTTGAGTTATCGTGCGAAATCTTTCTTGGCCAGCTGTATCCCATATTTGCAACTATCATAATAATATATGAAATATTTTTAAACGATTTATATATTATATCTATATATATATATACATATATTTATATAAAAAATATTGTTAATGTATATAATTGAAATTAAAACTTTTTGTACAGTGGAAACCTGCCTTTGACAAAAAAAAAATCTATTTAGTCTCACGTTACAATCTAAATTATACATATATATGTATATATTCTTTTTATAACTATATGACGAGAAAAATATTGAATCTTTTAAAGATTCATATATAAATAATTTATAGGTTAAATGTGTAAAAAAGATTAAAAAATCTGTCATCTTTCTGTTCAATCACGCAGCAAATAAACGTACCTTAACCTTCTTGTCGTCGATCAGTACTGTTTTCATGGAAAAGTCCACGCCAATTGTGTTTCCATGCCTTTCGATAAATGTGCCAGATCGAAATCTTTGAACGACGCACGTCTTGCCCGTTCCGCAATCGCCGATGAGTACAATCTTGAACAGATAATCGAAAGTTTCATCATTCGTGGATATCAGATTGTCCGGGTCACGGTTCGACATTTCTTCTCGATCAGAATAACTCATCAAATCGACGACACTCTTTGCAACTCACACACTCAGACTTACTACTGGTTACTTACGCCATTGTTTCATTCAATTCCACCACTTTGAGAACATTCTTGCTCTTGTAATTAGTGCAGTTGGTACTCGTATTCATTGAAACCGGATTTCAACATTCTCTTTTTTTTTTCCTCTTTCCAGTCCGACTTGTTACACTTTTTCTGTCACACAATTACAAACTGCTGATTTTTGATAAATGAATGAATCACTTTTTCTGGTTAATTTCAAAGTATTTATTTCGCTTGGAATTAATAATATTGAATTAATATAGCAATATAAATGGGGATATAGCTTTTTTTCTCAGGGAATATTTTTGAAACGTTGATAAAAGAAACATGTTGGAAAATTACATGTATTTATTATAATTTTTGACATAAACATATTCTATATCTAATTAATTGTAAATGTAATGGGAATTAAAATGAACAATTATTTGCCGGACGTAAATTTTGAAAGGCCTTCTAATAAGCTGACGTACGCGGTATGTTCGTAACTTGTGCTGAGTTCGACTATTTTCTCCGCAAACTCGTTTGAAACGCCTTTCTCTTCGAGATAGTTCATCAACAAGTCATACAGATACTGAAAAATAAATGTTGTACATGTATATGCAAAAAGAGATTAACTAAACAAGAATTTGAAATAATTGTCACATCCTCAGTTATTGATTTTATCAATGATAAAATTATTTCACGTGAGAATGTTTCACTTTCCCAAAGATCAATAATCAAAACGGGCATCAAATATCCCAATTTGTACTCAACACTTTGGTTCCTCTGTCATAGATATATAGTTATCACCACTTACCCCATCGATAATTTCACCAGCAACAGCATACACTTTATCAGAATGTTCTCCTGTATATAAAGTAATTTCATCTATGCCAAAGATATCATCTAAAATTAAATATTAACATGTGAGAAAAGTATTTGTTTAATTGTACATATAAGTTATAATTAAACGTTGCTTACTATAACTATCATTGGCACCTGATGCACCAGGTTCATTATTAAAAGAACAGGTAAATCCAAGAGTTTGATTTCCCCTAACTATATCCACTGTGAAGGATGGTTTGCTCTTCATATCACCAATGTCTGGGCTATCACTGGTCACTTCAATATTAGGTTCAGAGTCAGAATCAACAGTATGATTTATATTAAACGAGATCCTAATCCTATATGAAAGAATTTACAGTAAGAGAAAATACGTATATTTCTATTGAAGATAGATGGTACCACGTGAAAAATCCTCTTACGTTTCATTGTCTTGTGTCTTTTCTAAATTAACATCTGCACCGTCAAGCGAAACTTTAAATCCATCCAATTCGGTGGGAATGGTTTTCAGTTTCTGTGCCTTTTTTTCCGCTATAATTTCTTCGGCTAAAAACTCCACGAGCTCCTTCTCAGCTAAAAAGAATAATTACAATAGAGACATAAATTGTTTAATGAAAACATTTTAATTTCCAAAAAAGAATTATTATTAGAAACATATACATATCATACGTAACAAAATGCAGTTATCTATACATAAAACATACATATTAATACAAATTAATAAAAATATACATATTAATAAAATGAATTACGATACAATGAATGTACCTTTTGTATGAGAATGTCTACAACTGGAATTACGAGAAGCACCCGGGCGCTTAAATAGGTTTACCGAAGCGATAGGTGTGATTTGGATTTGTCGAGAAACGTTCCACAGCGTTTTTAATTGATTACTCGCGGTTCCTGTGTTTGACATTGAGGAAAACAAAGTTCTAATTACCGGCGAGCGTAGCGTGTTTCTTATAATTCCGTTCATTTTTAAATTTTACAATTAGTGCCACTCTAACTTGAATCAATATACCCACAAAATGGTCTTTATTGAACACGAGGTAGAATGAATAGCTCCGTCATGAAACAACAAACGTATGGTCTACCATCCTCTCGTGATTTTCAGAAATCGTTTGGTAATTTCTAGTGTCATTCGTTTGGTAATTTCTAGTGTCCGAACTACAGTGAAATTTTAGATTAGGAAATTACTAGGTTGGTAATGTTAGGTATCTAGTGATTATTTCATTTCTTGCGCTGAAGATTAATTTACAGAAGTTTATAGTGACAAACTCGTCCATAATAACTGGAAATGAGTTTTTCATTTGTTTGTTTTGAACTTGAACTTTTTATTTACTTATTTTAAATTCAATCGAGTACATTATTCTTATTTTGGATGCGGTTAACAAGCGACACGCATTGCATAGAGGTTAAGGATTTATTTTTCATCTGTTGGTATACTTGAGATTCTGAACTATTCAATTTGAGAGAGCGAAGATGTCTTTTATTACAAAAGGAACTAACTCGAAATAATGACTGTTAAATTTATGTTCAATAGATTGATTCAAGTAATTTCTCCTTTTCATTTGCGTTAACTTCTTAAATAATCATTTATGTTATACGTAACGTAGGAAATACATAACCTATAATATCACAAGTCTAATACGCACATACACACCACACATATATTTATTTATTATTTGTTTGCGTACAGATTAAATAAATAAATGAATAAAGAATTAAATATTACATATAACATATTACATATTGCATATAACAATATACAAAATATTCGTCCTGTACTCATTTATAGATAATTTCAAATTTCATTCCTGATTTACCTATTAATATCACTAAACATTAAGTCAGGTTTATATGATAGCGATAAACATCGATGTTTTCCATTGCTATCTTAGATTTACGTATCTTTGGTTGATGTGTAAAAGTAGCGGGAAACATACGTTCCAAGAAATACCAACATAAAAATCGTTTTCTAAGACGGAGAAAAATCGTTAACTTTGTTTGACATTTTACAAATAATTCGTTGTTGTTTTGCAAAATGTATTCACTTACGGAAGGAGCACTGGACGTAAGTTTGGATATGCTTGTATTTCATGATTTAACCGAAAAAGCGACATAAATTTTATGTAATTTTATCCGATTTGTAGAAAATCATGAACGGGGTTGAAGTCGAGAAGCCGATATTGCAAATATTGGTAAATAATCGATGTATTCTGTTTAATTTGTCTTACTGTCAATTCTGGAATGGGACATCTCGGTTTGGAACACAATAATTATTTGCAGGGTCACAAAAAGTTATCTAGCTCGAGCAGCGGAGAACGTTACAGGCTTCTTGTATCTGATGGAAAACGAGTGAATTCATTTACGATGCTGGCTACGCAATTGAATTCAATGATAACCGATAACATATTAACAGAATTTTCCATTTGCCAAATAAACAGATATGCTATAAGCATGGTTAATAATGGTGGCAAACAAAAGTATGCAATAATCATTCAATATTTCTTTTTTTTTCAATATAGTTCTGAAGCTTATAGTTGATGAAATTTTGTTTATTTTAGACGAGTAATGGTGATATTAAATATTGATATGAAAGTTCCTGGTGAGCAAGTTGGACAGAAAATTGGTAACCCAACGAACGCTGAAGCTGATGGTGATTCCAAATCAACATCTGGACAATCTGCACAAACTGTTCAGCAAGGTAATAGAAATTAACAGTGAACCGGTATAAATTATACTAATTATAATGTTTTATTTTTCAGGTAGCTTGATGCCAAAGCATAATTTTCAACAAGCTTCTACTAGCGATATAACTACGACCCCGATTGTTGCATTGAGTCCTTATCATAACAGGTACGTCTGATTTTTCTTTCTAATTTTTGAACACTGTAATATCTTTTTAATTTTTTAATATTTCGAATAATAATGTACATAGATGGGTAATAAAAGCGCGAATTGTCAGTAAATCTGGTATCAGAACATGGAGCAATTCACGTGGTGAAGGGAAATTATTTTCTATGGATCTTGTAGATGAGAGTGGAGAAATCAGATGTACTGCGTTTAGAGATCAGTGTGATAAGTTCTACGATATGCTTGAGGTAATTATTGTGCTGTTATATACACTGTTGTTATATGTTATATACGATGTTGCATCATAATTATTATACGTATTTCTTATATAGGTTGATAAAGTTTATTATATTTCCAAAGCAACTTTGAAAAGCGCAAACAAGCAATTCAATAATTTAAAGAACGATTATGAGATGACTCTGACTGGTGATTCAGAAATCATTCCATGTCACGATGCTGGAAACGATATTCCATCTCTTCAGTTTGATTTTATTCCAATATCTGACATAGAGCAAAAACAAGCAAATGACTTAATAGGTCAATATTGAATTGAGGAATTGAAATCCATTAATATATCATACTAATCGTAAAATATTTATTATAGATGTATTGGCTATTGTGAAATCTTGCAGTGATTTGCAAATGCTAGTGTCACGAAATACAGGTAGAGACATGAAAAAGAGAAACGTTAATCTTGTTGATGAGAGCAATATTATGGTAAACTTTGTCTGACCAAATTGAGTAAATTAAACTAATTTTTGTAATTCGACATTGCAGTGATGCTATATAAAATGAGTTTTTAGGTATGTCTTACATTATGGGGAACGCAAGCTGAAGAATTTAACAGAAGTGACAATCCGGTTTTAGCTATCAAAGGAGCGCGTATTGGCGAGTTTAATGGTGGAAAGAACTTGTCTACTCTTAGTTCAACTGTTATTCAAATTGATCCAGATATTCCAGCAGCACATAAGTATTAAAGTTATTGATAGATTTCTGAAAGTAATAATAAAAATATGTGTTCTTAAAACACTGGTACTTTTTATTTCAATATCAGGTTACGAGGTTGGTTTAACACACTCGGGCATAACGAAGAAACTAAGTCACTTTCAAGAACATTTGAAAATATGTCTGAATCGACTGGGTCATTGATCACATTTGCCGAGGCAAAAGCAAATAACCTTGGTGAAAAGGGTGTTGACGTGTACACGGTGAAGGCGACTATTAATTTGTTACGCAGTGAAAATGCTTTATATAGATCTTGCCCTTCTGAAAATTGCAAAAAGAAAGTAATTATTGTTTTGTATCTCATAAATATAATAAAACCTAGTTAATTAAGAATTTGGATTTTGTAGGTGATAGATCAAGCAAATGGCATGTTTAGATGTGAAAAATGTAACAAAGAGTATCCCAACTTCATCTATCGTTTACTTGGAAATGTAAGTGCAAAACAAATGTTTCTTTCAATACAATGATGTATCGACATTTAACATTTTTATAGGTAAGTTTGGCAGATTGGACAGATAATCTGTGGGTTACAACATTCAATGACGAAGCAGAGAAAATATTAGATGCCACAGCTCCAGAGCTTGGAGAATTGAAGGACAATGATAACGATGTATTCCTTGAAAAGTTTGGTAACGCAACATTTAAAAGCTTCATATTTAAGATAAGAGCAAAAATGGAAACGTTCAATGTAAGTTGAATGAACGTAGTAAAAAAACATCTTAACGTTTATAATTATTATTACTGAGTGGAATTATTTGCAGGAGGAGAACAGATTAAGAACAACATGTATTGGTATAATCCCAATCGATTATAGAGTTTACAATAAACATTTAATAGCCAAAATCAAAGAATTATCTGGTATCGATAACGCTTAAAGTTTTTCAGTTTGTGATATGTTTTTTCCAGTAATATACGGTATGAGTTTACCAAGAAATCTTTTTTTTTAAGAAAAATAGTTTTTTTTACATAATTAATTTATCATATATTGAATTAAAAGTACATGCTTTCCTACATAAATAAATAATAGTTTTTTATATTGGTATGCAATTCAATTATTTCAATACCCGAAAATGTTAAATAAAATGAGAAATGTAATTATCATTAATTATTCTATTGTGTTTCTTTTATAAGTAGCTTTTTTTATAAACACCAAGCTTTAAAGTATTAAAAATGTTATTACATATTAGTATAACTTGCTATTAATTAATCTAGATCGATTAAATTTTGCTTAATAATGTATATATGAAATAATGTGAAATCGTGTTTCGAATAGTTTTATATGTAGATAATTTTGCAAAAATAGTATGATCCATCGCATTTATACCATCCATATTAAAGAACGGTTCATTGGAACTGTTATTACGTAGGAAGGTATTATTGTTTAACGAGGTCATTGAAGCTGTAGATATGTGAAATTACATTTGTTGCAGAGAGCTGCACGACTAAAATCAATTCAATTAGAAATATCGTGGTTTGATTAAATTAAACAAATATAATTCCATTTGATTGACGCTACATATTCTGAAAACAAAGTATTACCTGTAAATTTATTGAAACTATGAATACTTATAACCATGACGTTATTGTATCTCTTAATGTGTCTATAATAATGTTAATGAATAGCATTAATGTGTGCATGTATATGTACACCATTTTTTAAGTAATTTTGCAACTGAAAATATATTTTTTATACATACATTACGTAATTATACAAAAACAATTAATTCGTTAATATCGTTTGTGTCATCATATATAAATTGCTTACAATGAATCACTTTTGGTAATATATATTGGATAAAAACGAAATTGGAGTTCATGAGTCATGTGCGCTGCATGAATTATTTATGAGTTTTATCGAATTACTCAAATGTCTCATAGCTGCAAATATCATGATTATTTTAAGATTATTTGCAAAATTTGGATGTTCAAATTTGCATATTTGTGTTTAAATTTAAATATTAAAAAAGTCAACTGTTTCATGTGTTATCCTATCAACAAATAAAAAGCATATATGTGTTTTTATATATCATAAAAATGTTTTAAGTTCATTTAAAATTTTTATAATCCGTAAAAATAGCTTAAAATTACAAAGAAATTTTTTTAAACTTTTTATACCCGAAAACGAATACATGACAATGATTTGTGACTCGCCACATCTGTTTAATTATCACTTGCAAATTGCCAACGTTAAAACTTTGCGCCTGTGGGACGTGTATTGAGCATGCGCGAACCGCTCACCTTCCTAAAGCGCCAAAATGTTTCGTTCCGTCGCAGTACGAATTCAACCTTCTTACAGAGTGGGTGATTCTTTCGTGTTACAGAAATTTTGCACATCCGCCTCGCATTTCGAAGAACACCATGGCTATTTGTAAGTTACATTTCTGCATCAATAAATTATCGAATCAATGAGCTAAGTCATTTCTGTATACATATTTTTTTTTATAAATTTCGACTACCGAAATTTTCACAATTGTTACTCATTATTTCAAACGATAATTTTATGTTTTGCTGGTAAAAAGAAAAAGAGAAAAAAAGTACAAGTATCATTTTCTACTTATTAAACAATAAAAAATACATATGTATGATAATACACTTGAATAAGTAATTTTCTAAGATAATTGAAACAAAATACAGATTACGTAGAGATATATATTACATTTAGTTCGAACTAATTTCCATTAAAAACATAAATTTATAAAAATATATTTTTCACATTTTGTATTGTAATCGTTCGATGATTACCCTGAAATATCCTGAGATGTTTCTTTAATTTCTAATAATTGCAACGCTTGATTATTCTTATAAATAAATATCATCACTGTATTGTTTCAATAAGATATAGATGTATAAATAAGATACACATTCTGAGGAGATTTGAAATATGATCGAAAATATCCTTCGTGTGACTTTTAAAGGATCACATCTATTTTTATCAAGCAAATTGCTTCGACAATATACTTACATCTTCCAGAAACCATGTTCACGCGTGACATGAACTCATTTCCATGATTTACTTACAATCGCCTATTATTCGATCTTATCACTTACATTACAAACACACAGATTATTCGTTTCTCTAATGATTTCATAGCTGTTTAAAAAATCAATGCGCAACTTGCATCAAAAGTAGCAAATGGATATACGTACTAATATTTCCACTTCACTGGAGGGAAAACGTCGAACATTCGAGAAGATTGATCGAAGCATGTTGACAAGTACTGCCTTATCGATCAACGATCTATAGGAAATGTCGAAGAACAAAAGTATATATGTATATAGGGGAGAATACCTCGTCACGTAATTTCTTCTCTAGTGTCTAGCTAAATATAGTGTACCACGGGTGCGGCCGGTTTGACAAGCCGGCCGGCCGGTCGGCTTTCTTAGCTACAATGCGATTTCATGAATCTATGTATGCGCACAGGAACTTCGTGCTACTTCTGCTAAAGCGCAGAGATGCCTACTCTTGACCTAAATTTTTCAAGTTTTATTACTTTCCAAATTTTTATCAGTATAAGTCTCATGCAAAATAATAATGTTACAGAATAGTGTATATATTCGATTGGCGAGAAAGTAATTGCGTAATTTTTTTCTAACAGATGGACATATACAGGGCGTCTCTCGACTGTGAGATGATTCCACGTGTAAAAATGAACGTCGAGTAGAAAGGATGAAATTTTTTCATTGAGACCTTCGTTTTCGAAAAAAATCGAAAATTGAAAATTTATCAACTATACTAACTCTCTATACTGAACAACCGCGAGGATACTCTACGTGAAAGAATTGGTAAAGCAAAGTAAAAATTGTAGAATAAGAATTTTTTTTGTTTCAAGAAAATAAGCTTTGAACATGCTTTATTGAAAATCACCTTAAGTGCATAAATTTGCCTTTCATTTGCAAAAGACGTAAAAAAACGTGGTTATCTCTCGGCCAACCTAATAACGATATAATAATTAAACAGCAAATGTTCGATCGTATTCGATTTTAAGAAACACGTATTTTGAACGTAACAGCATGGAGAAATGAAATTTAAACAAAAATCTATTTTATTTACTAAATAATATAACGAACGCTGTATTTCGGATGTTTTGCATAATTTCGTACATTACGTAATAATTCTACGTAAAAATCATAACAGTACTGTCACATGTGACATGGCCTTAATTTTCATTATTCCGGTATCACGTCATCCCTGCAGGATTTATTGTGTAATTGCAACTACCAGATTGTTTCGCAACAGTTATAGTTTTAGTACTTTCTGAAATCTTTTCATCATTTCTCGATGGCAATGTGACAACTTTTTAAGAAGTTGTTCAGAAGTTGTCACATTTATTTCGATATGTAGCTGCATATTTTATTTAAATTATCATACTTGTACTTTTTTTTAATGCAATGGTTAATTAACTTTTTTTGTGAAACTCCGACATTTTCAAACTTGCATCATTAATTATATAATTATTTAATTATACTAATCAGGTTTTATCATGGTAATTATATTATATTACTTATAATTATAACTAATTACTACATGACTAATATATTATATTAGTTATAATTTAATTATATTAATCAGGTTTTATCATAGTATTTTATCATAGTAACATGTATAACATACAAAACGCATTCACGAAATATTCGGAGAACTTTTGCGAGCTATATCTATATTTTAATCGATAAATCTACTGGAATCTTATTTTAAAACTTAACGCTGGTTTATACGTTTACACTTCTTTACCTTGGTAAACGCGATCTACCTCACTGGCGTAAGGAAGAGAGTTGCTATGCGAGGTCAGTGACAGTGAAGTACGGATGAACACCAGGTTTACTAGACTTACAGACTATTGGTAATCACGTACTTGCTTGATTGATTAACTAAGCAATGTCACTTACAATTAAGTCTCACGAGGATAGAAAATGTGTACAGTGAAAAGACATAATGATAAAATATCGTTGTTACTTTAGCTTGCTGTATTTTTTTTTTTTTTTTTGCATTCTACATGCAAATACTCATTAATAAATATCATTTATATTAAAGTTCTACGTCTATGGAAATTTTGCTCATCGCTGTCGATAAAATCGTAGAATGGAACGCATAACGTAATGGATCGAGTAAAATAGATATCGAAAATTACATTCTGCTGCATTACAACGCAGTAGTTAAAGTAGATTCCTAGATTCATGTTCATAAAAGCATTGAAATGTACGGTAATAAATGTCGAAAACGGAAGAGCCAACCAACGATCATCATTGCACAATGGAAATTGGCTCTAATTTTCGCATTGTTATGTTAATTGCCTGCGTAACGCTTCTTCGCAACGTGTCTGATACTTCAATTAATTTTTACATAGAAGACGAGTATTCTGGAGATAATCAAACGGAATATTTTGAAGATATTTTTCGTATAGTAATTAAAATACAATATAAGTAGTAATTAAAATGCAATATAAGTATATATTTTTCGTATAGTAATTAAAAAACAATATAAATATTATAATGAGTATACAGTGCTTCTTTATTATTTATAATATTTCTTTATTTCTTTACTATTATTCTTTATTACTATTAGTAATACTAATAGTAATATTAATTATTCTCTATTACTATTAATTATTTCTTTATTATATGGTATTTCTTTTTTTCGTAGTTAATAGCATAGCTGTAGATAAAAGATATTTATGAAAATGAAGAGATCTTTTTTCCAAAAAACGATGGACGTACAAAGCTAATGATTAGAGAGTAGCGAGGATGCGAGACATTACTGTATTATGACTCATTGCGACGCAATACTCTGCAACAACACGCTGAACCTAGTCCGATCGTGGAAGTGACATTTTGACCGATTAATCACAACGTAAAAGTTCAGCACGCTGATCACGGCATCGAAATACTAATGACATCATCGCAGTAGTGACATTCTTAGTCTGTAATGAAACTTTCTATTATTCTTGATCGTCTTATCGCATAAACTGCTTTGCAATGGCTGAGAAGATTTTATTCTCTGCAAAAAGAAAACAAAAGCAAAGTTAAAAAATATAAATGTTAAATAGTTTCTTTGCAGATTAATGTATGATATAATGAGGTTCAAGGTATAAGTTGTTGTTTAAAAAAAAAGACATTCCGATTGATGGACATAAAAAAAAGAAAAAGGATTGACGAGATTCGAACTGTTGACGATGACAAAATGATGTCAGCGACGAACATGGTCTCCGTGACACAATCCACTATTTATAAATGTTGCGTTCGTCCAGCAAAACACTATCGTTGCGTGTTATGGCAGATTTCGATAGTATTAGGTGCGACGACGATCGTCACGCACCGTAGATCATCCTCATAACAATCCATAATCAATTTCTGAAATGAGATACGATTTATAGCTGCTGTTACTTTTGAAAGGGTGTTTATTTTTAATACGCATACCTGGAGTAGTAACATAGCGTCACAGTGGCAAATTACTTGACGTTTAATGATTCAATTGAATTCAATGTTTCAATTCAACGTTCAAAATTCGAGTTGAAAATAATAGAAAATCGGTAAAAATGCTGAACTAATTGAAGTTCGTAGACGATGGCGTTCAAATGGGAAATAATTATCCACTTTAGGATTAATCAATTTCCATCGAGATTAACATCAATAGATAACCATCTCAATGAATATGTTACGAAGAATTTCGGGTGTGATCGTTCGACACAAAGCAAATAATTCATAAACAATTCGTGATCATTTGTCAGTGCCTAATGGATCCTGGTAAATGCAGAATGTGCATGCTTTCCGGATACGAGTTCTTGCGGTTCCATTTGATAGAGACGGCCGTGTTAGCGTTAATTTTCACAGACTTTGGATTCCAGTTGCTATCACTGATCAAATCTCCAGGTAAATTTTCAGTATGACAAATTAACCTGTCAATAAATACTGCAAATAACTATCGGATACCAGAAAATCTAAAAAAAAGGAAAAGAAAAACTCTTTGATACATTAAAGTATATTAAGAACGATGTCTTCCAAATTTTTATAAATTTTTATAAATCTCTATCTTTGCATAACAAAAATGAAGTTCTTGATTAAAATCGGCCTTTTGTATAGGGTAAGTCGTTGAGTGATGGCCTTAAAGAACCATTATCTTAAATATTATTAATATATTAATATATTAAATATTATATTATCTTAAATATAATCGATATCTAAAAAATATATATATTTTTGTGAAAGTGAGTTACATATAATTTTATAATGTTACAAACAGAAGATTAATAGATCACGTGTTGGTGCAAAATTGTACATTTTTTCAATTTATTTATGTGAAGTTTTTCCTCATTTTCCATATCTAGCAATGAAAGTGGTCCTAAAGCTTTATTTGAATAATGCCATTTTGCTACTTTGAACTTGCAGCATCCAACAGTCCTTCATTTATCTATAATTCTCTAATTGTTAGAGTTTCTTTTATATTCAGTCCATGATTCTCTAGAATAATATTTATCAATACTATATACTATACATAATTTCATGAGTCAACTTTCTCCTAAAATGTCGGGTTATCTAATGGGGATAGTTTGGAAGTGATAACTCATTTGTTTTCTTTTTTTTATAATGATATCTCATTACAGTAATATCTCATTACAAAAATGTAATCATAACCTCTATATTAATCATTAACCTCTATAATCATAACCTCTATACTAACGCATTCCAAAAAAGTCATCACATTTTTGGCCAATTCAAGAAAATTTTCAAAATTATTCTAGTTATACGTATTGTATACATAATTCATTATTTTTCAAATGAAAACAAGAAGAAGAACGGTTAATATGATACAGTGATACAATAAAATATATCACTAAAAGAGGCTGAAAATTAACATTTGATAACCTATATTCTGCGTAAAATCGAGCCGTATTACCACGGAAATTATCCACAATAATTAATAAATCCGGAAGGAGCTTGGCAGAGGTAATTAGCGTTGAGAGTTTAACAAGCCGGAAGCGCTCATTTCAAGATACGCAAGGTGTTCCTTTGGAACGCGTATTAAGATGTGGCAGGTGCAGCTCTCGTCGAACAGAAAAACGTCTCTAATTTAGAAACAACGACGGAAACCGATCATTTTCTGTCTCCATTGCAGAGATATTTATAGCACGAATTCTCGAAACCTCGGATGAAAAATAACACCGACTGATTCGACACGTCGGGAACAAATTGAATTTATGATCGTGCAACGAAATTGTTTGCAGCTGAGACGAAAGATAAAAAGATGGAACGATTTTACGATCGTCCGTTAACTGTCTGGGATTATTCCACTTCCACACAGAGGAAACGAATACATCTGCGTATGCACACAGCGTTGTATTAAAAAAATAATCGACACTGATGACAGGATGGTATTATTAATTTTTCTTGATTTTTACGTTCAGTTTTTGGAAAAAATTAATATTGACTTTCATGATTCAAAGGGTGTCTAATGACTATGATCAAATTGTGAGAGGAGATTTACAGTTTGAGGAGAACGTATAACGGACGTGATCCAGACTCGCAATTATCATGAGCACGCGATATATTGATCGATGCGAGTCCTGCATTGCCCTACTTTTCTACTTTACTTCGACGTCTCTGTGTAGGACGCCTGGCGTCCAGATGCCTGGCGTCCAGACGTCTGGGCGTTCAGATCTGTTTTTCCTCAGTTAAAAAGAATTTTAAGTCCGTGTGATGGTTCTTTGATTTCCAAACTTCCGTCTCGCCCTAACGAAAATCTAACGTCATGCTAAGAAATTACAGAATGATTTCATTGACTCGCAATAAACATGACTCATAGAAATTCTATATGAATATAATATTCCAAAATGTCTAAAGTCTGTTTCCCTCTGTTAGAAATTTCATTGGCAATAAATAGAAATTCCATGTAAATATAATTTTAACAAAAATGTCTAAGGATCTGTTTGTCTCTGTTTTCCAGCACTTTCCACTGAAGATAAATTGGAATACAATTTTTACCCTGTCGCGAGTGGGCAGCTCCAGTTTCGAATAAAAGCGCCGAACGATGCCCACATCGCACTCACAACGGGCCCTCAGGAGGGAGAACCTATGTACGAAGTAAGAATCTCTCGAGAACTGTGTTTTTGTTGATTTTTGAATGTCTATTAAACTTATTCTCGTCTTATCGTCGTATAAAATCCAACGTTTGCCAAGAAATTGCAGAATAATTACTCAATTAATAAACATGATTCATAGAAATTCTATGAAAATATAATTCATTATATAAATAATATAATGAATGTGATTCAAACAATAATAATATAATGAATAAAATGTGATTCAAAACAATAATAATATGATGAATAAAATGTGATTCAAAACAAAAAATAAAATATAAATATAAAATAAAATATAAATGTGAAATAAAATATAAAATATAAATGTGAAATAAAATATAAAATATAAATGTGAAATAAAATAAATATAAAATAAAATATCATATAAAATATAATTCAAAACAAAAATGATCTAAGAATCTATTTGCCTTATTATATATTATAAAGTTCCTGTAAATAAACACGTAGTAATAGTCTACTATACCAGGTGTGTTAAAATTACAGGTTTTCATTGGTGGTTGGAGCAACAGCAAGTCTGTGATTCGTAAAAATAGGACGAAGCCTGAGGTCGCTGAGGTAGATACACCAGGTATCTTGAGTGCCGACGAATTGCGTGGATTTTGGATCAGGTGGATATCATTCACACTGTGAAATCAGTTTTTTTAGCAACTTCAAATATACATACATCTTTCATGTTGATAATAATAATAATAATCTTCTTTATATATATACAATTATATTATATTACTATATTATTATATTATATTATATAATTCTCATTTCAGATGGGATGATGGTGTTATATCAGTAGGTAAAGAAGGCGAACCAAGTGCATTCCTAACTTATGCTGATCCAGAACCGTTTGGAATCGGTTACTTTGGAGTGTGCACTGGTTGGGGCGCATCCGGTGAATGGCTGATCGAAGGTAAAATTATTTTCTCTTCTCGTCCTTTTTCTCAACTTTTCTTCTGAATTACGTAGAATGTGATTAGCATCTGAAAATAGTTTCTCATTCTTCAATAGTTCTTATCCTCGGCAAATTCTTAAATTTCATTTTTCTTTTTTTCTTTCCGTTTCGTTTCGAAAAACATTTGTTTAGAAATTATCATGACTTTTACCAAATTGTAATGATGATTTGTCGTTCTCAATTTATTAATACGATTTTCTTGCTGGTACTTTACTATTGGATATTTCGGATGGAGTCTACTAATGCATCATCGTCCGTACAGCCATATGTGTAGGTGGTCACGATCGTACGTAAAGTATATACGAAACCTGTCGATGAACAATATTTGCTCCTTCGTAGATTCTTAGCTCTGCTATTCGAACATGTTTGATCCTAGCACGTTGCCCTTTTTACTTTGAATGACATCCGATTGAAAACATTTTGCCAAGCACAATATGTAGTTCCATGCTTCTCTGTTACTCTGTATTTTTAATGCAAATGTTTCTGTTATATGTTAGAACATTTTTTTTTTGTAAACAGATACACGTTCGATAGCAAGGACATATGCACGGAGAGGGAATAGTAATATAAATCACATGCAGTTACGCTTGAATCTTGCTTCAGCGTAATCAAAAGCGCTCGTATTTCTAAGCTTATATAATTGAAACGACTGTTAACTTCATTAGCCGAATACGTCGTAAGATAAAGTTGTTGCAGGGATAATAGTTATAAATAGTGTATTATACTATATATGATATGTAGTAATATACTACATAGTATATTATATTATATTATAGTATATTATACTATATACAGTACAATATATAGTACGATAATAGTATAGATAATATACTATATACTGTATATTATAGTATATAGTATATAGTGTAATATACTATATATAATAGATGATAATACAAAAAGCAAAAGTTTCAGCGTATGTGCTAAAAATTTCTAAAAAGAAATAAGATCATCGATAAATATTGAATTTTTCAATTTTTTGGAGGGAACAACAAAAAAGAAAAAAAAAAGATTCTTTTCTAAATCTTAATTCTGATCGGAGATTAAATGTTTCATTTCCTGTAAGGACACGGTCCCTTGTCAACACGGGACGAATTAGCCTACAAGTTTCATAACGTAAGGAGCGGCTCGATTCTCGTCGAGGTGAGGGCCAAGAGTAACGCGCACATCGCCCTGACCAGCAAAAAAGGCGACTCGAGCCCGATGTACGAGATCATGCTCGGTGGCTGGGAAAACACGGCGTCGGTCATCAGATACGATCGCAAACAGCCCGACAAGGTTGAAAATTTACGAAACTCGAAGAGTCCTTTCAAACTTCTATTCAGTGAAACAATCGATTGCCAAAGATATCTGTTTGAATTTAAAGAAAATTTCCTTCTTTTTTTTTTCTTTTTAATTTTAAAAATATAATATTAGAATACTGGAGTAAGTTCTAAATAAACTATGAAATATCGTCAGAATAAAATAATGGTCGGTCGGAAGGCGTTTAATTGGCGTTCGAGTTTCGTCTTAAAACGTTGACACTTTGCACCGACAGGTGCGAGTGAACACGCCGAATCTACTGAACGAGAACGAAACGAAGAAGTTCGCGATTTGTTGGCTGGACGGTCGTATCGTGGTCAGGGCTGGTGGTGTTAACGGTCCCGTGATCATGGAATGGCAAGATCCTAAGCCTATCGGCGTGAGCTACGTAGGTGTGCGTACCGGTTGGGGAGCAACCGGCAAATGGATACTTCGAACCGCTCAGTACCCACCCTGTCCGGTTCCCAATTACAAAAGTAATTTGCCTATTAGTAAATATCTGTTTCTTTTCTTTTTTTTTTTTTTCTTCCTTTTGCTTCAACTCACTTTTGGTGATAGAAATTATCGATCGATGTGGGTGTTGAACCTTGATACTTTGAAGATTATGATTATTATACCAGAAATAGGATTCTGATGCAAGTGATAGATGTCCTATAAGTACAGTAGCTTAAGCTCCCCACTTAAGCGTCACTATCCCCACCAATTCTTGGAATTGGGACTATTCTACCTATATATCTTACCTATACCTTATGAAGGTCGCGTGAAACATGACACTGGCACAATACAAAGCGAGTGATACTTGATACCGTTATTTTGGCACAATTCGCAGAATACACTTTCCCAGTTGAGCATCTGCTTTTAGCCCTGACTAGAAAAACCAGAGACTACTGTAATAGTGTTCAGAAGAACATTGTAATTTACACGAATCCTATTTTTGTTATTTGTGTATATGTTATTGAGAACTCGGGTCTACAGTAATCAATGTCATTGACTGCTTGTTATGATTATCAGCGTAATCTTATTCTTTCACAACGCTTCTTTTTTTTTTTCTTTTTTTATCAACGGATTTTAGTGTCATTAGGCGACGAAATTGTTCTCACTCCGGTGCAATGGTCGAAATTAACGCTTTACCGATCGGTCGGATTATTTTCTATAGACAATGAATAAATGAAAAATGGCTTTACTAGATCTTATAGATCTTAATTGAAATCTATATTCCATTACACCTAACTAAAAATTCTAAACAGCTAAATTTTATTTTGCAAAACGAGCAATGTTTTTTCTGATAATCACAATGCAGCATGAAAGATCCATTGGATGTTAACTTCATTCCTGTTTGCGATCACACCTGCACGTTAGTGTACCCGATTGGAAATAACTGTTCAGTTAACACGCCAATTGTCGTATCCGGTTGTTAAAGCATTAACATGTGTGTCATGCGAGGCTTTTCACTGTTGCATCAAGCATCTTGCACGTACGTTAAATGTCTTGTTAATTTTTGCATCGTTGTATGAATTCAAAGATTTCTTTAATGTGTTGAGTATTTTATACCCACGAATTTTTTATTGAATAATAGTGATAAACTTCGGTGAATGTAAGAACGTATGAGTGTGTAGAGTGTAATGCTGTTACACGTAATAGCAGCATCTAGCACAAAACTATGCCGAGGTCATCATATCGCTATTTTCTGCAGACGTTTCATTCCTCAAATGCCTTTTTCTCCCGATTAATCCCCGCTCTCACCTACCGTGTAATACGAATTTCAACGTTGCTTGCGATGTGACTCATCCCATGATTGATCTTTTTACAACGTTTGAATAATTCCACTGAACCAAATTCGTGATAAGTTTCGTCATTACTGTAAAGAGATTAACAATATTATATCCTAACTGTATAATTGTTTTGCAATTATACGAAGCATGAGAGATTACGTTTAATAAAAAAAAAAAATCACACTTTCAGAGATTATAATTTGCTTTTCTAATATATCATTCGTTGCATCCTCTTCAGTGCTATCCAACGTAAAGACGTAACAGATGTTCATAAACATATGTATATATATTTAACACACAGAGAAGGGAAAGAGAAATCTAAGATTTCACTCGCATAACTGTTGGAGAGCATTGCCTTAATTTTATACAAAAGAAGAAAATGACAAAGGAAATGTGACCACCTGTCTAAATGTGTTTCTTGTGGCATCTGCTTGTAGATGCAAACCCATCGGCCCCACCACCGCCGTCAGGAGTTACAGACATTGGAGATTTTTGTTGGTGCGAAGCATCTGGCGGTATTATTCCTCCAGGTGCAGTCGAAGGAGGGAAAGATGACGAAACTTTGTACGTTGGCAGAGCCTATCACGAAGGTGCTCTTCTACCTGGCAAGGTGAAGCCAGGGCACGCTGTCTGTTATGTGGCTTGGGGTGGCGGGGAACATGGAAAGACTGAGTATCAGGTAAAAGATTGAAAATTGTTCTTTCACCAGACGCAAAAGAAAAAAAAAAAAGAAATGACAAAGCTACAATATCAAATAGAGATAAATTATCAATTATCACATTTCAAGGTTGAATAAAATCTTAACTCACAAAAAAAGAAATTAACTAATAAATAAAATGAAAACAACAAGTTTAATTAGCATTAGAAAATAATCATAACGATGAAATGTTTGATCTAGGTTCTCTGCGGTTGTAATCCAGTATGGGTTCCAACAAGCGGAAACAACATTCCTCACAATGCAATTCCAGGCGGCGAATCAGAAGACGGGGAGCCGCTGTACGTTGGCCGTGTACAGCACGAGGGCACCGTGACAATCGGCAAAGTACAACCGTCCCACAGCGTGTGTTACATACCATTTGGTGGTGCTGAGGTGGCGTTTCCCGAATACGAGATCATGGTCCAGGAGAATTAAATTAGAATTATCCTGCACTGACGTCGATGCATTTGATAATGAATCCTAATCGCTTGCAATGATTTTTATGTTTCAATGCGACAAAATGTCAAAAGTAGACTATATCGGGAATTTAATTAAAAAAAAAGAAAAATGTATTTTACGTACGAATAATCGTCCTACTTTGTTCGTACATAACTAAAAAACACATGGAAATATTCGTAACCGATTGTTACTGCTATTTTAATATCGATATTTAATTATGTATTATACATAATGTAATGAGAATCTCATACGTGTGCAAACTAGTCTAGTTACAAATGGGCGGATCTTGATTCATTGTTCATCGATCAGTTGGTGTATCACGGGCGGTATACTCTTGCACAGAACGTAATTACAATTCACAGTAACAAGTAGAATGCGTCGATCAAAAAAAAAAAGAAAAAGAAAAAAAACTGGCAATGTATATGTACGATTCGACTACACATGTGTTAATAACTGGCTACGTATGGTACCATTAATTCCTATTTATACGGCTGGATGTTTATACAGCTTGAAATACTTACGTATTGCTTGATCGTTCTATTTTGTCTAAGAGTATCGTGAAGGAAAATTTCCTTTCATGATTCATATGGTTCAATGCACAATAGTTCTTGCTTTTCCATAATCTTTGATTTTCTATTGTTATGAAAAATAATAAATAATATTTTCGAAGAGAAGTATAATGCAATAATACCTTCAGCCTCCTTGTTTATAATTGCAAGATGCGAAACTGTCTAGAATTTTTCTTTTTTTCATTTTAATTATTAACTAATTATTTCTCTCTATTCATCTGTATATTCTCCGTATTTAAATGTTTCATTCTTACAGTTAAGCAATGTGCTATATATTTAAAATAAATATACGTGTTACTAAATATTAATTACTCGTGCTTAATAAAAAGAGAAAATATTTGGATTTACTTAAAAACATGTTTCTCTCGATAATCGAATATGACACGATTCGACTATGAATCGAATCGACCAATATTCACGAGTTCTAACGTAGTGACTTTTTTTTAACGCGCGTTGTAGATTGGCAACACTATCTCACAGTCTACACATCTGTTCCGAGTCCCAAATAAGCCGGATTCAATAATGGCGGCCAATCTGTCATGGCTCGCTGTTAAATGTCAATCGAGAGGGAAAATTTCGAAATAGTGGCTGATCGGAAGTACTTTCGTTCGTGAAAATGGCTGCGAAAGAGCCTGCTACCATCGACGACGGGATTCCCGAGCCGGGTATCGAGCCTGGCGCCTCCGCGGAAACAATGCTCGTCACTACCGACAGTTTCGAGGAGTACGAACAAGAGATGAGCAATAGTATCGATGATAGACAAATGAAAGAAAGCACAACGAGCACTATTTCAGAGATACAGGAAGACGTGCAAGACATTCCAACCACGCCCACTACGTCCAATACACAGGAACTTGAAAAAACTGCGTCGCTCGACGATTCCGAACTAGTACGCTTCATAACCTCTTTATGAAATACTGTGAATGTGTTTAGTCTACGCGGAAGTACAGGCAATTAAGACAATGAAGACTGTTCTTGACTAATTGTTCAATTAGTGTTGGCCAATTAAATGAAATTTATGTAATAAATTGATTAATTTTTTATGTTTCAGGATGATGTTACACAACGATTAGGACAGAGTGGCATCGACTCGGATCCTTTACGTTGTAAGGCATGGTTAGCGCAAAAGAAGCATATATTTATTTTAAGCCAAGCAGGGAAACCGATATATTCTAGATACAGTTCAGAGGATAAACTAGTCACAGTGATGGGTGTCATGCAGGCTCTAGTTTCGTTTGTTCAAGCGGGCAGTGATATGATTAGATCTGTTCACGCAGGAGACACTAACTTTGTATTTGTCGTCAAAGGTCCATTAATTCTAGTTGCGGTGTCGAAAACGCTCGAAAGTGTACCTCAACTTACATTACAGTTAACGTAAGTATATTACAACGGGACAATGAAATTATAATAGAGCTCCATCTCATTTTGTTCCAAGATATTTACATTGAAAACTTTCTGTTATAGATATGTATATAATCAAATAATTTCTGTGTTAACCCAGTCACAGTTAACTAGAGTGTACGATCAACGTAGAAACTTTGATTTAAGAAGATTGTTAACTGGTAGCGAAAGACTGATAGATCATTTATTAAATTTTATGGACAGAGAACCAGCATTCTTTCTAGGAGCCATTAAATGTTTGCCTTTACTGCCGTCTATGAGAAGTTCTATCACGCAAACTATCATTCAAACTTGTGGCAAAATAAAGGTACAATAACTTGTTGCAATTTCAAATTGAAGTCATTGAAATATTGTTGTTTTTTTGTACTAATCAGATGTATGGAACACTTTTCAGAACTTAGTATTTGCAATACTTTTAGCTAATAACCAATTGGTAACATTAGTCAGAATGAACAAATTTTTTTTACACCCTGTGGATTTACATATAATACAAAATTTGGTCGACAGTTCAGAGTCACTTAAAACTGCTGAGAGCTGGACGCCAATATGTCTACCAAAGTTTGACGCCAATGGGTATATGCATGGACATGTATCATATTTGGCCGAGGATTGTCAGGCATGTTTATTGTTGCTCACAGTTGATAGAGATGTATTCTTTGTTCTTTCCGAAGCAAAACAAGTAAGTGATGCAATGAAAATTCATAAAGCATATAGAAAGTAACAACGTGATAAATAAAGAGGAATCTTATTTGTAGAAAATTGTAGAAAAATTAAGGCGAACAAATTGTTTAGAAGCAATTAACGAGTCTATGAATAAACCACCGATCAAAACTGCTGATATTGGGTTGCCGGAAATACGGCACGTTTTGTATAAATGTAGAAGCACGGCACAATTTTGGAGTCCTGGATTTCAACCGCCGTATACAACCGACGAAGAAATAGAACGGTAATTGGAATATTAGATAATGTGAAAATAATATTACTAGACTGAAACTTTAATAATGCAAAACTATCGTTTTTTGTAGGTTATTGGGGCTTTACCAATGTTTACATCACAGGCTGCACAGTCCCAATCGACCATTAAAACTTATATTTCAGCAATTAGAGAAAGAAACTATGTTGGCATGGGTAAGTTCAATTGAATAATACATAACACAACAAAAGTTATCACAGTGTATTTAATATCTAAATTATATGTATATATTTCGTAGGTAACATTAGGTTTTGAATTGTATGTTACGTTTGAACCACTTGTAACAAAACCTGATGCAATCGAGGCAGTGAGTAAATTGTTAAAATGGATAAAAAAAGAGGAAGAAAGATTATTTATTTTAAATTCACCCACATTTTAAAAACCAGTGGAATCAGTTTTAGAAAATTACAAAAGTGTTTATCTTCTACGAATGTAATTCGAATTCGTATTGGTAATAATTTGGCAATTGTTTATATTGATTTGAAGAACTACAGATCGCTAAAAAAAATTATTCCATTCAAAATAGTTGCATTCACATTTCTTCAATGCATCAATGCTATACTTTGCTCACTTTTTAATTATAAAAGATACTGTAAAGGTGCATATGTGAAAATGTATATATATATATATATACATTACATATGTAATGTAAAGTAAGTACACTTATGAACAGGCTATGACATTCTCAACTTACTTTTACTACATGGTGCTTGAGAAAACTTGTCACTGTGTTGTTAAAAAGAGATTACTTAAAATACAATATCTTTTTATATCATTTAGCAAACAAATCGTAACTTTACAAATTATCGAGCGATCCTTTGTTAACAATCACAGTGATAAATTTTCCCTGAAATTGTAAATAAGCGTAAAAACAGCAGCCATTGTTTCATGATCTTATTAAGTGAAAAATTATGATTCCAGATAGAATAAATAATATAAATGTTTAAGAAGAAATAATTATCGTCACTTACATGTAATGTACGGGTATTACGAGCTACTATGTAGCGTTTCTATTGATAAATGCTATAATTTTAATACGAAATTATTCTTTATGTTATGAATATGTTACATATTGCTGTTAATCACGATCAAAGTGCAGTACGTACGATAAAAAAAAAGTTAAAGTGCATTGCTTTGTTTTTTATTCACCTGATAGTTATAAAAGTAAATTATTATATTCTGTACAATATCTGTTGTATCTCGATATTTTTGTTTAGTGTCTAGTTCTATCACGTTCTCGTCTTCGATCTCGATCCCGGTCTCTCTCTCTATCTCTGTCATCTCGCCGATGCCGATCTTTATCTCTGTCTTTGTCTTTATGAGAAGAAGAGTGGCTTTTGGGAGATTTACTACGTTTACGTTCTCGTCTGTCTCTGTCCCTGTCTCTGCTCCTTGATCTTTGCTTTTCCCTGTCAGACTTTTTATCGGAACGCGAATGCCTTTTGTCTCGGTCTCTGTGACGATCTCTGTCTCTGTCATGATCGTCCGTTCTTTTGCGAATATCCTCCTTGACCGGAGGTATATCTTCATCCTCGGAAGATTCTATTCCTTCATCCATATCGTCCTCCAATGCAGACACTTTTGCTTCTGCAATATATATGTAAGATAGAAACCAATTCAATGTTGTTATATATATTTCTATCTTTTGCTTGTGCATTCTTAAATTTAACTTGCAAATTAAACTGACCTAGTTCATTATTCTCTTCCAGAACGTGTCTCTTCTGTATCCTTGGTAAAATGATGTCGCAACATCTTTCTTCTCTAAGGAGATCGTCTATAAATTCATCCATGTGGACCAATTCAAATTTACCTTGCTTGTTTTGCCTCCTGAGCTTTCTGTTGTCATTGAACAATGGTTCCAAGTATTTGTAACAATCTAAGGAAGATCCGGTCAGTCTCATATACAATGCCCCCAATGCACGAACATACTTGAATTCCTCGTTTTTTATAAACTCCACTATAATATCCTTCTCAGGTTGTATCTGGAGCATCTTTAATATCAGACAGAGGAATGGCGTTGGTTTTACATTTCCACCGTATACACCACCTATAAACCTGAAACAGCGTTTGTTTTCATTCGCAATTATATTTTGATTTGTAGATTTGAGTTGTTTAAAGGTATCAAACATGTGCATGCAACACGAGTTGCAGATAAGTGGAGCCATAATAAACGCAATTACACAACGAAAATTGCAACTTGCAGTTATTCGGCAATAAATATTTCCTAACCTCAATTCCATGGCTTTGTCCACCAAGAGTTCCGCAGTTAAAGCGAAACATTCTTCCTTCCAATATTTTGAATCGTACACTCGGGATCTAATTATTTTCTCTATCAAGTATTGCGGATTTGTACCTCTGATGGATTTTGCATCTTTCACCGTTCGATTAGCCATTTTCAAATTGCAATCGGTGAAGTGTTAATGACGCAAGTTGGTAACAGAATGCACTTCATAGGGAATTTTCTTGACAATCAGTGCAATTCACTCGGGTCACAGCCTGTTTAATTGAATACGAATATAAATCCGGACGCATTTTTCCTTTCAAATGTTTGTAGGATAAAAGGATTGTATCAAGAAATACATTCTACGGTGATTATTTAACGATACTATTAAGAAACTGAAAACTAATTCACAAAGTAATTAAAAGTAAGTCACAAATAAGTAACTCGCAAGTAACCGTAATCTTTTCTTAGCCGTTTAACTTTCAAAATTGCAAAGGTGCAAAAAGCGAAGAAAGTAGCGTACTTTTACTGAAACGTAAAATCGGGGTCAGTATTACAAAACCTACATCCGCGTGTCAAGGTATTGTTAAATATTCTTCTCACTAATTCGTAATTTTTTGAGAGTATTCTTAAGTATAAATAGTAAGATCCTTTTTTTTTTTTTTTTTTTTATTACTTTTCAGGCGGGAATGTTTGAAATGACTTTTACGTATAAGAGATATTATTTACTAGACTACAACTATATCATTATAGAAGTTTTACAAACGATTGTACAATTGTATTTACACCGGTCAGCGTGACTGATTTCAGATTTTTGTTTTTTACAATTGCTTGAAAGATACGTGTATTCTTGTCAGAATTAATATTAATCTCTATTGACAAAAACATAATTGTATAAATCTATTTTTGAATTATCATTTGAATTATGATGATCTATAGATAGAATATTTAGTGTTAATAGATATCTTCATTTATTTATTTACATTAATATTTTTGAACTAAAGTCAAGTATGTCTCAAAACGGATGGTGTAACAGAGCTCGCCATAAAAGTTAAAAAGAATTTTCTTCGTATAATTACAGTTTATTACAAAATTAACACTACTTGAACATGCTTGGAAAAAAAAAGAAAAAATACATATGTACGTGCGACAGACTTGAGAAGTTCAGTGATCATTATTGTTATCGCGATGAAAACACGAAGAAATCCGCTATCTCGCGTGAAGGAATGCGCATCTTGTTTCGAAAGCGACTCCGATTAATATTAAAATATCCTTTGGCATTTCAGAACTCACAATCTGTCTGCTCAAGACTCTTCTGTATTCATCCTTCGAAAGCCAGAAATAACGGACCGATAGCATCATGAATAAGATCATCGCCGATAATCCGAAAGCTGTTAACATGCAGTACACGTAAAGAAAGTTGAATCATTTGTTCGGTACTTTTTAAGGAATATTTCCAGTGAACGATATATGTTCATTGTTTTATTCATTTCCTTTTTTCACGTAAACAGGGACTGGCTGAGGAACAAAAGCCCACGTACGAATCGGCATCCCTACTCCCCACGTCCCCTACTCTCCACGACGTTCTGCAGCGACGTCGAGCCTTTCTCTCGAGCTCAGGGCCCGGCAAGGAGGCCCCCATTCACAGTCCCCGTACTCGCCTCGTTCTTTCACGCTGGTTCTCCCTCCTTTCTATCTACCTGGCAAACCTCTGTTCACCTGAACAGCCATCTTGAACTAAACGCCGCGCTGTTGCAGCTTGTCCTCCTTGAGACAACGTATTTTCGACTCGTCGAGGTGATCAGCCGCATCGGCTCGTAGCTACCAGCGACTATGTGAACCAATTCAAACGGACTGACTGTCGTCGTGTCTCTCTTTGTCCTCGTTGATCCCATCTTCTTTCGCGCTATAGAACGAGCTTCCTCCTTCGAGGCGAATATTTCGGTCGGTATCCTTCGGTTCTGTACGAGGAATAAATTTGTCTAGTGTGTCGAGAAGAGAAGCGAGAGTTCCTTCGGAAATTCAGTGAACTGGTGAAGTTAGGTGTTTGACAATTTCGAAGACAGATGTCTTCGAAGGTACATACATCGAGCGGAGTTTAACAAAGGGTAGGAGGAGAAGGTACGTCGATGATCGAATTGATCACTCCTTATAGATATAGTAAATCATGATCCTCTCTATTATTATAACCTTTTCTCTAATGCAACCTTAATTTGTCTCGAGAGACAAAGTCAATCAGCAAAATTTTGCCAGTGTTCTTGGCGACACGGACGTTGACATTCGATCTGTAATTCGAGAGGGGGAAAAAAAATAATTCCCGGTAACCGACCGAACCACTCCCCCTGTAAGAAAAACACTAATACGAGTCGTGTTTCGTTACGTTTCTGATCGATAGACCGCGAAAAGAAAACGAAAGAATAAAATACGGGCTGTACCGTGTGTACCCTTCCTGGGTGAATGTTCCGATGTAAATGCCACGGGCGGCACTGACACCGATTTAACGTGGGAATGTGCACTTAAATCTCGGCGAAAAGCCGCGGGATCGTTGACGTGGAGCGACGGGAAAACGTTGAAAGTACCTTCTTGCAAAGGAAGTACATGTAGACGTGCTTCCGTCTTTGCAATGATTCCACAGGGTGGGCCAAAAGTTTCTTCCCATCTATTTTTTTTTTTTTTTTGTTTTTTTTAATGAAATATTAAAATACAAGAAACGGCTGATTTTGTCAATTTCAAGTGAAATTTTAGGCTCAAACATTTATTCAGTATGTTTCGTAAATTTACAGATTAATTTTAGTAGGAAGTGATTTTTGGCCCGCCCTGTACAATGATCTATACGAAACGAATTGAAGAGCTGAAATCTCCCTCTGAACTATACGTTAAAAACATTTTCGTACATTTTATAAATATATTCTACACGTCGAAATCGTACGTAGACGTACAAAAATCATTTCACTTGTTGCCATATTGTTGACGTTTCATTTTATCAAAATATTCATATATCCGACAAGTGACGAGTTACTGTATGTACTTCGATAGAAAATATATTCGACGAACATGGGTTCGAAGATAGAATATGTGGAATCCTCTCACATGTACGCGACGAATTACATCCGCAACTCGAAGGCGATCGGTGTACTTTGGGGCATTTTCACCATATGCTACGCTATAATCGGTGTGGTGGCCTTCGTCACGCCGGAATGGCTGGGCGATTTGGAACACGAAAATCCAGGAAGATTCGGCCTCTGGACCAGGTGCAGCTACGGCGGTAACGGTAAATTAATCAAATCCTCTTCCCTTTTTACTTTTTAAATATCAAGTTCTCATCGAACTTTTCCCATTACTGGGTTTCTCACTCCACGGATTCCTCCTTCAGGTGAATTGGGCGAGGAATGTATAGGCAAATTGGACGACCTGTCGACGATCGCCAACATTCCGTTCAGAGCGAGCACCATTCTAGTCGGCATCGCTGTCATAATCGCTTTGCTCACCATTTGCGCGATGCTTCTCTTCTTCTTCTGTCAGAGTACAACCGTGTTCTACCTGTGCGCTTGGATGCAAGTTGTTTCAGGTAATCGCTGCCACAATTATTATCTCGTTAGTGGGATTGTGATCACTTTTACCTTCATTTCCAATTGATTGATTGCTATCGTTTTGTCATTATTACTTTCATTATTCATGATAGAGACTGTATCGCACATGAATGAAAGAACTCCAAGCCACTAACACGCTTCAGAAGATTCTTTAAATGTGGAATCATTTGAAAGAATTTTGAACTTCATTGACTGTGAAATATTAAAGCTTATTCTGATGCTGGCTTATTCCATCTCGGTAAGAGATAATCCCAAAAGACTGACAATCATGGTTGCTTGTTATTCATTTATCTCCAACAAGAATCGCATTTAAAGGGAAATAACTCGGCGAGTGATGATTGTTGCGCAATCATTGAGCTGAAAAGGAAGAAAATTTTCAACGAATGGCAAACGCTCGAACGTCGTTTTAGAAAGTATAACGCGACCAAGTGTTCCCTCCGCGGGCTATTGCCGTAATCATTCGCGTAATACCTTATCGTCGCTGAATGTAGCTGAAAATTACGGTGATGCACGGAGGCTACCAGGTCAGAGAATGATGCAATCGCTTCACATTGCACGCCCCTCTGTTCGCCACTTGAACCTCGTTTGTTCGCTGAATTTTATACAGCGAGGAGAACTCAAACTTTATTGAGATTATTTTTGCTCCATTCTCTTTCTTTTAATTTGTAATTAACTGCAATTCGCTGTGATCAACTGTTAATTGATTGAAATTACTATTAATTAATTAATTGAAATTTACGTTGAAACTAATTATTGAAAGTGACTTTGTGAAATGAGCATTATTATTATTTACATTTACCTTTCGCAATGCATGCATTGCATGCAATGAACTTTTGATTAAAATAATTAGTAAATAAGACTGGAGTCAATTTATGCTAAATATTGTGGCACATAAACCTGTCAGATATTCTCAATTGTACTGACAATTAAGTAGAGAAGATTGAATCTTCCTCTGATAAATAAGGCTCGTGACTGGTTAATAGAATATTAAAAAATGTATATTAAAGTAATTATGAACACATATTACAATCTCATGGCAGTGAAAATCTCTTTTATGGTAAATTGTGTTTTTCTGCATAGAAAGCGCTTCCTGTCGGCAAGAGCGCATTTGCGAACAGTACGTAACACAACAATGCTACAATGCAGCGTCGGTGATGCATAAACGATGATTATTTAGCTCGTCAAGATTTTAGAGGTGGGGCATGGCCAGAAAAAGTTTGGGAACCACTGATCCATTTCTTTTATGAACTTCAGGATGAAGACGTCTCGGGAAGAGATATAGGATAGACCGTTATAGCGCGTGACACTTTACTACAGTTTACCGGTTGACCAATGTCGTTGCTGCAATTAACATATTCAGTCGCCGCTGAGTTCAATCATTGTGCGTATAATATACAATACAGATACACATAAAATATCTAAAGTAAATTCATTCATGATATTTAAACAGCAAAGTAAACATTTTTCTATTTAAATTCTAATTATTTACGTAGGTTCGTAAATATATTTTAATTCGTGTAGACGTATAGACGATCGTGGTAGAAATTAATTTCTTTTACAACAAATTTATCACTCTGTATTATTTAAAATTCTCATTAAAGTATCTTTACGATGCGACGTAAATAATAATAATTTAAATGATTGAAATAATTAGATACGTGGTACGCATCCAAGATATTCTCAATGTTGACCTAGTCAAACACTGACACAGTTTGATGAACATCCTGCGACAAATTACGCGCGACATACGGTGATATTCACGCTCGGTTACTCAGAGCCTGGTCATCTCGACTCTTTTCTTCATTTCTCTAATCAACGTAAATGAAAGAGTGGCACTGACAACGATGCGAGACGAAAATGCCAAGTTCTACCTCGTAGAATAATTAATCGTATATGTAGGTAATCACTTGCTTCGATCTCTCTCTGTTTCTGTAGAATATTTTCAGTTTCTCTTACATATATTTTTGCAGTAATATATCATTAAAGTACTTAATTTAATATATATATATATATTATATCGTTAAAGACGGGAAAAATATTAAAGAGGAAGTGAGCTTCAGGTAAAGATGATATATATGTGCGTGCGTGTGTGTGTGCGTGTGTGTAGATGGAAAAGCTGTAAATAGCATCATTGTTGATTGAAAGTGGCTGGTTGAAACGTCGACAGTGAAAGTCCAGTGGTTGAAATGTGAACTACACCCCGTGGGGAGGGGGGGGGGGGGGAGTAGTAGGAGTTTCACCCAGAAACCGGGTCCATGATACAATATAGTACAACTCGAATCGGAAATGGAAACTTTTTCCGCACAATGTACTAGTAACTTGGCAGAAATTATAGCGATCATGGTAACTTTCGCTATAATCTCTGCCTAATAATTCGTCTGCTTCAGTAATGGAAATTTTACAAATTCCACCAAATTTATCTGTTGTTGCTTTTAAAATTGTACCACAATTTTTACTTCCATTATAAGTCATAATTTTAGTCATAATTCAGGCAAGTATTTTTTTTTTTTTAATCTCTTATTTCGTTTCCCTCGGTGTCTCGCTTCGTGCAAAATGAACGCGGGAAAAGCAAGATTCGTACCTTTCACTGTTGACCTCTAGCACAACATCCGCAAAGATAGTTCACTGAAATGCCAGCCACGTTCCTCACGTTCCTGTTCAATAAATCACGATCTAAAGATAGAAAGAAAACGACAATTCGAGTACAAAGCGAATTTCCTAATAGAGACCTAATGGCGTTTCCTTTGTTCCAGCAATATCTATGGCAATTGGAGTTTGCATTTATCCCTTGGGCTGGGATTCGCCGTTAATTCGAGCTGTCTGTGGCGCAGCCGCATCCAGGTATCAATTTGAACGAATGAATGCAAGCTCTTCATTTGAACTGTCCACGTACCTACATCCATAATTGGACATGTCCAATTGTCAATCTTAAAATTTATATTTTTTCTCAATCTTGAAACTATATAAAATTTATATTTTTTTCTCAATCTTGAAACTATATAAAATTTGTATTTCTTTTTTCTATCTTAAAATTACATGAAATTTATAAATATATAATCTTTAACAATAGAGTGATACTAAAAATGTGTTATAACGTGTTCAAGTACCTACTTAAGTATGAAAGAAGATGATCAGTTGCATAACAAATGACTGTCTTCTTATGAAAACGTTGATCCATATCGACAATTTCATTTGGTAGATACAATCCAGGAGCTTGCGCCGTTAGATGGGCAATACCGTTAGCAGCGATTGCCGCCCTGGACGCTGCTACCTTGGCCGCGCTTGCTTTTATTCTGGCGGCCAGGCACGTCAGACTTCAACCAGAACCTTTCAACAACGGTTCCTTGTACAAGGGTACGGGTTTTTTTGTTTTTCATACAAATTAATATCCCTAAACCGGTGAGAAGTTTAAAGATTATGGCCATTGACCAACTTGTCAAAAAACTCAAAAACCTTTGAAAAATGAAACCTTGTTTTATACAATTATACTTTTCTCTGCGTTTGAAATTTTTTTTTCTCATCAGACTTCAACAACAGTTCCTTGTATAAAGGTACAGGTGTTTTTACTTTTTATGCAAATTAAACATCAACTAAAATCCCTGAAGATTATGACCATTGACCCATAAAAGTTAAAGCCTTTGAAAAATGAAACCTTCTTTTATACAATTGCATGTAACATTCCTCTGCGTTTGAACATTTTCTTCTCAATCAGATGCTCAATCGAAGTTTTCCAATTTATTTCCAAGAAATATATCTAACTCGTTCGCTTCATTGTTTTTAGGTGAGGTGAACCCGGGGTACGTGAACGAGGCGCAGAGTGTCGCCGGCTCCCGGAAATCTCTCTCCTTGCGACCAGTTCTTCTGGTCGCCCCGCCGGAACAGGATCGGTACAGCGAGCTCTCCAGAGCGAAATCACACTCGCATCACAGCCTCTACACGCCAGCGCCGACGCACCCGGCCCACACCATGTCGACGAACACCTTGAATCACTCACAACACAATTTCCAATTGTAGATCCCCCGAAGATCGTTGACTCTATCGTTATTGTACATATTGTTATTCATCTACCAAAAGATTCACAAGTATCTTTTTCTTCTTCTTTTTTTTTTATTATTATAATACTATGATAATCCCATAAATTACAAGAAAACAAAACACTGTAAATAATATTGTAACTTTCTTTTTTTCTTTCTTTCCTTGCAATCGAATTGGTAGTTGTTATTTTATCTCGAGAGAGAAAGAATTTATAACATCACGCTCTAATGGTCGTGATACTTTTGTATTTTGTATATATCGTAATTTCTCAATGTTGTAAACTTCTTCCCTTTCGCAGTGTATATTCCATGTATGTAATTAATTCTTTTTATACATATGTAATACGTTATATATATACATACATACCAACGTGTTCTCTCATTCCTAACGAATAAATGATATGTAATTGTTGAACAGAACATTGTTGTCCGCTACCTTATCTTAGGAACTTACACAAGAAGTGGTACACTCTCTCTGTCCTTTCTTTTTATTACAAACAATATTATAACACAAATTAGTTGTTTTACAGAACGAGGAGAGTCTTACATTAGCGGATGATGAAATGAAAACGAAATGGGACATTTTGCAACCTGCCTGTTCTATAAAAATTATTCTTTGATGAAGAAAAATTCTGTCATTTGGCTTCGGACATCGCTTTCGCTTTCGCGCAAGTCTAAAGTACAAAGTGTTTTGCCATGTGGTAACTATGACTACGCTTAAAAGGAGACAATACACACGCTTGTCGCGAAACTTTGTCCCAACGAGAGTCCCGAAGGGAACAATCTTCTAGCGAAGAAGAGCTTTCTCTGTACTGCGCCAGAGATGAACGACAAAGACGACAGCGCTTGGGTCTTCGATTCCCTGATCGGTTTTCTTCAGGGTCCAATTTGGTCCGCGCCTCTCATCACCTTCATCGAAGAGAAGTCGCTCAGTAAGTGGAGATACGTATTTGCGCAATACGTCGTTCTATATCGTCTTTATTTCTTCTTCTCTAAGATCGATCCTCCGTTATGCCATTCCTCTTTTCTCTCCGAAATCTAAATTGCATAACGTGCAACATAATATTCGCCCGAAAACGAAAGGAAGAAGTTTTTGTGGTTTATTTACTTTTTCCTTTTATAGTATTCGAAGCAGACATCGAGGAGAACGACGAGTATCAAAAGGTGTATCAAGAGTACAAAAATCTCGTGGACTTGTTGCTTGGTTGCTTCATGGAAGACATGGGGATTACACCGGAGCAATTCGAGTACGCTTGCACCGTGAACAAGTACACAAAAATGCCCATACAATTCCAGCAGGCGAGTCAAAGAAACTCTCAGACAGAAGAACCTTACATCAAGAAAAAGAAATAACGTGCAACGTGCATTGATTTTGTGTATCTATTTCAGAACTTGTTCGAGCAAATATGGGCAGCGAACGAGTACGAGATATTCAAGAGGATGATGATCCAGAAGAATCTGGAACTTCAGCTGCAAGCTTTGAACATGATCGAGCAGAAGTATGGTCTCACACCTGCATCCCTCATGTATGAAACCGACGTGTTGAACGAGGATCCTTTAGTTATGGAAGAAATCATTCAGTAAGTCTGTGATTAATTTATTATCTTTGTCTATCTCTCTCTCTCTGTGTGTGTGTGTGTGCGTGCGCGCGCGCGCGCGCGTGTTATAGCTTTTTCTCTTTCTCTCTTTCTCTCGTCATTGACTTGGAATTAATTAGAGAAAAATGTGTAGAAAGCACGTAATGGAGAATGACACGGAAGAAGATCAGGAGATATCATCAGAGACTTCGTTGATCAAAGAACATGAACGTTTAACAGCTAAATATAACAGCGAGAAGGCATTATTGGCGGAAGCTTTGAAAGCATCACAAAAGGAACAGTCTCCTGGAAAGGAATCAGTTTCAAAGGAAGAAGTGTATAAAAAAGAAGAAGGAAAAGATGATGGAGCAGAAAAAAGAGACATAGAAATAAAAAAGGAAGAGGAGGAAGAGGAGGAGGAGGAGGAAGAGGAGGAAGAGAAAGAAAAGGAAGAAGCAAATATTCCAAGGTTCCCCAAAGCAATTCCTCTTGGCCCTATGTCCACAGACGAGCCAAAATCAATGGAGCAAAACGTATCGGTTAAACTGATCACTTACGTATGATAATCCAATTCATTCATGAACGTGATGCTCATTAATATTTCAGGTATCAGAGGAAGATGTGAGAAAGAGGCAGACCTATCTGAAAGCCAGACGGGACAAATTGGTGGCTTTGAAGAAAGAAGCGAGGAGTCAACGGTTGGAGATGAATCTATCGAGGCCGAGCTCCGCGAGATCGGTGGCGGAAGCGACGATCAAAGGTGAACAAGAACTAAAATTACCGGAACCTCTGGAACCTTCTATATTGCAAGTACGCAAAGCGCTCGCGGCTCGTCTTCAGGCAGAAGTAGTGCGCAAGCAAACGAGCCAATAATAACGATTCTCTGGCGAAGCTGTTTCATGATCGTGATAAGATGATTCTCTCTTTTTCATCTGTTTTTTTAAATATAGAAATCTCACTCTTCGCGGAGCGAAATTTTTATACAGCTGTATCAGCCTTTCTTTTCTTTAAGTGTGCTATGTTTTAGGATAAAGATACTGAAGAAATTTGCAAAGATCACGAACGTGTTCGTACACATTGAATTGTATCAAAACGATCAAATCGAACAACGAACACGTTTAAAAAAAATAAAGGTATATAAAGTCGTTGTTGTTTTTTTTCTTTTTATACAATTTCAAGCGTTCACTCTGTCTCTTCTTTTTCTCTTTAAATAAATTTGATCTGCTATTGGTCGCAATATTTATGTATAAGTGTATTTCCGCTTGTGAATACCGATAAAATGATAACTAGTTTGTAAGGTCACTTGCATTATGTTCTCTCGGTCATTCGCATGCACTTCGCATGATCATAATACGTCATCGGCAGCTGGTTTTATCCTTAAGAGAAATATCAATCTGGACTGTGAAGAGAAGTAAAGGAAAAAGTGTAGAGTTCTTTTTATAATAACAATTTGTGTGAATCTTTAACAGGTGATACGAATAATCTATAATAAAAAAAAAAAAAAGAAATACTTCATATACAAGAAGATTTCAATCTGCAAATCCTTCAAACGAAATTGCTATTTCCTTGATCGACCTTGAAAGAGAAGAGAATGCGAAGTTAACGTAAAAGACAGGCATTGACACACAGCCTTTGAGAAGATGCATTCAGAAAAGAATAACGCTAAAAGATCTGTTTTACATGTAATTATCTAACAGCACAAATTGTACAAATCACAATTAGATAATTAAAGCTGAAAAATTAATGACAATTATATTCAATATACAAAGAAGTGTTCTCCCTCCTTTTTCTTCTTCTTTTTATTCCGTTTTCGTTCATTAAACACTGAGGTAAGTTACGACTCCGTTCCATTATTCGATTCTTTCTAATTTAAAATTTTATTCAATTAAATATTCTCCGCACTTCTACAACATACTTCTATCCCATGTATACACGCAATTGCCATTCTCGCTTCTCTTTTTTTCTCGCCCCTCCAATTATTAAGATCAAAATAATTTCGTGGCGAAATACGAGTTAAATTGCTTGAGCAATTATGTGTATATGTGTGTGTGTGTAACGACAAAGCCTACATTTCTGAATGCAGATTCACAACAATTCCATTTCGACAGGAAACAAAGGATACTTACAAAACTCAAAAAATTTGTCGCTTGTGCTTTCCTGATACGTCTGTGTAGTATTTATCAAAATGTAATTCGTCTAAGTTAATTAGAAAACACTGATTAGAAATCAAATGATCCTAGGCGTTCGCCTTTCGCCACGTATCCAATATTTAGTGCACGTTTCTTTTAACTCGTCTGGTCAATCATCTTTCATACTTCACTAGAATAAAATGCAAAATATTCATTTTTTTCTACTGGCTCTCCCCATTCAACTGTTACCAAACTACACACAAACCAGAAGTTTTCTCTGTTAATTCTAGCCTTTACGTTTGCTCCTATTTTGCATGTTCTCTCTCTCTCTCTTCTCTTTTGTTCAATTTTTTATGAATAGCTTCTCATATAAAAAGGTGTTTTTTTTCCTCTGAGTCTGTGTGTATGTGTGTGTATAATATGTGTGTATATATATATATATATATATATAATTAAAACGTATTGTATTATTAACATGTGGTATTGTACAATGTGTGCAATTATCTTTTCCTTCTTTATTTTTATATCTGTAACATCATAACGATATTACGTTGAACTATAATGGTTGTTTAGATTTCGTGACTTTCGGTGGCACTGATGTTACATAAAATGTTTCGCTGGTTTTTCTTCCCCTCTTCAAATTAGAATGAAAACACTGGGAAAAATATTTACTATTTTCAACAATTACATTTAACGAGTCTTGTGTGTATATGTATACATATACACACATATGTTGTAAAAATCGACATTCACGTTTCTCCTGTCTGAGAGAAACTTTAGGTCAAATTTTAAGCCAATAAGAGATTAACTCGTGAACATAGTGAAATAATGGAATAAAAAAGAGAAAAGAAAATAATCTGAATCTTTGAATATTCGAGTAATGCGTTCCTTTAAAAAAAAAAAAATATAATGTAAGCTGAAAGCTTGTATTGGACGATTTTATTCTTTTGGCTACATTTGAAACACCGATAACGGGATACAATGAAGATTAAATAAGAAAGAAAGCAGTAATAATGAAAATGAGACGCATTTGGTAATGAACGAATCTGAAATTCTCCATGTAAAAGAATATATGTATGTGTGTACATATGAATATCTATACGGGTATGAAATTTAGCTTAAATAGCACTTGCGATCACGCTATTTATTCTAGTATCACTTGGATATCAATTCAGTTTTTTTTATTCTTCTTTTCTCAAAATTCGTCCCCTTATTTAAGTTTCTTTCAAAGTACATTCAATGCACATTCTTTATCATTTCGTTTCATCTCCTTTATCATTATCAAATAAATCATGAGTGTTATGTAGAACACATAAGGAATAACATTACTCGATATCCTTTTAATTAATTGTTAGCTTTTGTTACGTTTCTCTCTCTCTCTCTCTCTCTCGCGCTTTCTCTTTCATTCGCATGCTCTCCCTCTCTCTCTCTCTTACTTCGTGGTCAATCCAGAGTACACTCTTCTCCTCTTATGTACATGTATATCACTCACCTCCAGCGAATTTGCTATTCACAAATTTCTTTTCGCTCGTGTCTCTAAATTAACTTCTAGAATTTCTCATCTTCTCTCAATATCATATAAGTTAATATATATGCATATATGTTCATAGATGGTACGTGTATGTGTGATGATATTTACGAAAAATGTCCAATATACACATATAGGTCTAAAGCAGTCTTAGAAACTCTGTTCAAGGTATGTGGGAGAGGAGGGGGACGACGACGTGAAAAATTTATACATTATAGCTTATAATACTTCTGCTCCTTTTTCTTTTTTTTTTTCTTTGTTTGTTTGAGTTAACTTAATCAAGATATGGAGGCACATGTTTCTGAAATAATATTAAACGTTTAAAAAACAAGATAAAAATGGAAAAAAAAAACGAGACAACATTCTTAGGAAACTCATGTCAACGTAAATTAAAAACAAAACGAAAGAAATTAATTCAGACTCTTATAATACCAGCTTTCTCGGTTGTGTATCAGTAGTTCAATAATTAAATACTCCCTTGCCTAGGGAGCTGATGTGTACATCAATTAACTTCCGTTTTTTTAATATCACGTCGACTTCGACGTCGTCTGCTTGTCACTGATAAATACTTGTCCTTTAAAATTCCAATACTTCGTTATGCATTTCTTTTTCTTTATTATCAATTGCGAAAGAAAGGAAATGTCCATGTTGGAAATAATTTAGACGATCATATATAAAATGTTATACATAATAAAACCTTGCAAGGATAAATTTGCAGAGGATCTTTTATCTTTCCTTTACAAAGTACAATAATCAATATCAAGCTTCTATCTTTACCCACATTAGTTACGAATAATTTATACGAATAGAATAATAGTTTATATTTAATGCTCGAGATTGCAAAACACTTTCACATATATTTTCGTTTTACATCGAGGAGTGATCTGCGGACATGAAGTGCAAACTGGTAAATATACACAAATCAAATATGTTTATTGTACAATTTCTACTACTTACATTGACAACCGAAAAGCTCGTTCAAAGAACCTTAATTAAGAACTGAATTTGTAAAGGAATCGCATTTTCTCTGCTTTACCCACGAATGGTTGTTTTACAATCGTTACAAATATACATATATATACAAACTAAATACTATTTCCGTTAATTTGGATAAAGTTTCATGATGTCTGACCCCCTTTAGGGACAGGTCTTAATTGCCCATCACACGAATAAGAAAATTTATGGATGGCAAAACAAAACACTCAGTTGTTTTTTGTGCGGTACATCATGTACTTTTACATGTGATTTTTTTTTTGCTTTTTTTTTACATAATAAGTTTCTTCTTAATAGATATAAATATGACGTACAGTCACAATTTCAATTATTACATGAATCTAAGCACACGCTTAGAAACTCTGTATTTGTAAGAACCACTAGGCCTGGCTAGAGTTTCTTAGCCTATTCGTGAAATAATTTTTTCTAGTACGTGGGGTGTTTCCAGACAACGTGGAATGGACTATTTCTTGTTAAAATCTTATTACTTTTAACATTTATGTGGTCATACAATATTATGCCACAATTTTATCATCATATGTCTTATTTAAAGAAAGTTCTCTCTTTCTTTGTATCGCATTGGTTCATCTTTTTTTCTTTTTCTTTTTTTCCTTTTAATCCTAATTATATATATATTCCATTTCTTAGACCCTTTCACCCACCTGCGCTTAATACAGTTGTTTTCGTATATTTATACACAATCCAGCACAAAGAAGTACGTCAATTTTCACCACGTTGTGAACACGTGTCCTCGTTATGTCCACTCACTTAAAGAAAGTAAATCCTTTATCTGCTATAAAAAGGTTGACAGTGACATGATCTTTTGACCAAATTCTTTGTGCATGTAGGAGGGCCAGAAATGGTGTAGCAGCAATTAAAAATCACAAATTCCTCGGTTTCTTTCCAGTTTGCCTACTATGACAATCTTTGACGTTTTGGCGAAGGTGTTACTTCTGTATCCTCTTCGTCTTCGTCTGAATCTCCTTCATAATCAACTAAGCCCTAAAAACGTACGTTAAACATGTGTTTTAAATTAACGATACAAAACTTTGTCGTTATCCTTTTCGAAAGAAAGAATTACCTTCTTAAATAATGCAGTTCCTGTTTTTTCGGTTGTGCCAATGGTTGAATTTGGATTGATTTCCGAAGTAATAGGAGATTCGTTCGTCGTTGTTGTAGTATTATTGATTTGTGACTGTTGCGAGGTAATGTTATTGTTAGCAGTGTTATTGTTTAACACGGACTGCTGCTGTTGTTGCTGTTGATGATGACTTTTAGAATCTGCAAGAGCAGGGTTGAGTGCAGAGTTTGAAGTTGATGACTGTTTCTTAGCAGAAGCTGGAGGCACAAGATCTGCTGCTGCTGCGGGTACGACCGCCTCACCCTCGTCAAAGTCTTCCTCTTCGTTGAACCACATTTCTTCCTCTTCGTCTAACTGTCTCTGGTCCCTTCTGTATCGACTATTTCTCAATATGGATGGAACACTAAACGAACACGATATCAAATATATGTTATAACTAGACTGCGGATTTTTACACACTTGTGAGAAATTTAAAGATAAAAAGAAAATACAAAGCATGCGCATAATATGCAAAAATAAATAAAATAATAAACATAATATTTAATAACGGAAATAAATTTCCTTAAAAAATTGCACCACGATCCACAGTCTAACTAGACTTTTTAAACTACTTTGTCGATTCGTTAAAAATATCATTTATTAGAAAAAATATACCTATCAAGAGCCGCTCTATCCCGATCCTTTAACTTGTCTTGATGCTGTTCGTACCTTAGTTTCAAAGCTTTAAATGTTTGTACATAATCAATTGCTTCCAATTCTTTTGAAAAATTTTCAACAACATGTGAACATAACGATTTGATATCCTCCTATAATGAAATTAATTAATTATCTTAGATATATGTACGTATTTGTACAAAAAATTTCATAGTATGTATGTATACTTACTAGTTTAATAAATTCAAACATTTCAAGAATAGCAGAGTCCAACAAATTATATCTACCATTGTTTCTCACAAATGCATCAAATACAGGCGCAAATAAATTCCCTTTAATGATATATCTATTGTAAAATTCATCCTTTAATGCTACAATCTTTCTCATAAACCTCAAAGCACACAATACTAAGAACGTGTGTGTAGATTTCATCAAAACCAATATCCGTTTAAGCAGATCCTTATTCAATATGCAATTCTTGATGTGGTATGTATGATGCTCTACACAAAATGATAGTAACTCTAAAATCAATCCTAAAAGCTGTACTGTTCTATAATCTTCTCTTGCTGGTCGTTCTCCAATTGTGTTTGCTAATAACGGTGCTATCAATGTTCCAATACTATTCTTGTAAAAGTAATTTAAGAAATCAGTCTTTTCTGATTTGTTAACGGAAGCCAACATGTTTTCTGGATCAAGGAGCAGACGTAGTACACCAGCTAATTGTACAGCTCCACCCAACTCTGGATCACTATCGCCAACGAGTTGAGCAACTATTACATTTATTAACATTTGGTCCTGTTCTGTATTATTTATTTGTTGCAGTGTATAATCTCGAACAACACTCGGAGAATATTCCACAATATAAGTCAATATATCTATACTGGCTGTTTTTGTTTGGGCGTCGTTCATTGCCAAAGTAATTTCTAAAGCGGGTAAAATACCGAGTGCAGTTAAAGTTTTATAAAAGGCCTCCTTTCCTTGTGGTTGAAGATTCTGAGAAAAGTTACAAAATTCCTTTAGGAAAAGAACTAGATCTCGTCTCTTACTATCCGATGTTGCTTCGTCAGTTAACTGGCGAAATAGTTCAGTGAGGAATTTTTCATCATCTTGTATCAATGTTACTATCTCAACCTTATTAAAAAATATAAAGCTACTCAATGTGTTTAACATGTTGTCTTCGAATACACTCGGAGTCGGTAGTACTACATCTTGAATATATTGAACTCGATACGTCTGGTGAATTTTAGCTAATAGCTCAGCGTTTGTAATAGGAATTGCTTGCTTAAATCTGGCTAACTGTCGAAGATATTCTCTATGCCTCTTTGGCTGAGGTAATGTTGGCTCGTATTCCAAACATCCAACAACATCGAAAATTATATCTTCACTAAACATAACTTCAAATAATGTGTTCTTATTAAGTAGGAAAATATTTTTAAATATGTCATACAAATGATGCAATCCTTCAATATTTTCTAAATCTTCACAAGTATGAAACAGATTTAACAGTTTTTTGATATAACCTTCCGATTCCAAAGCCAGGGCTAATTTATCTTTCCTCATTTGTGAAGATAAACAATTTCCTATAAGTTCATTAATATCTTCCAGTCGGCTTAATTCACATGGTGGCAACTCTATTGGAGGTGCAGCATCAGACATATCATCAAACCGTTCATCTTCTGACTCTTCAACAATATCTTGAGTAATTTCAACAGATGGATCTTTTCCTTGGACCTGACATATCTTTTCCCAAATTTCATCACAGCCAGCCTTTTCTTGAAAACTTAAGGCTAAATCAAAATTTTCTCCTTCTGACCAAACTATTAAAGTGTCCTGAAATAAAAAGAAAAGAAACAGTCAGTATCTCATAACTATTGTATTTCATCAACAACTATCAACTACATTACATGAAAATACTCAAATCTACGATCATTTGTTAAACTAAAAATATTTGTACGACAATCTCATTACCTGCTGTTTCTGATATGCTGTATCCGGTTGTATTCTACTCTCCAACAAAACTGAACCATCACTCTCTGCTCTGACTAAAAGTGAAATTCCTTTCAATCTATCTACGTATGAAGAGGAAACATGACCTGTACCACGATCATCCCACTGTCTATCAACATTGAGCGCATACAACTTCACTCTTCTGCGTGTATCCGTCATATTGTAAAAATTAACTTATACACACTATTTTATAATATCACCAGCTACCTTGCATCCCTTCAAATTTTTACCAACTCTTTGGCTTTTTGAATATATATTTATAAATGATCCTCAACTCTCCGATGTATCGACAAATGCACCAGAATCTGCATGTATCGATGCAGTTACTCCCTTACAACCCATTAAGGCTTTTTATTACAACATTAACTTTACGAGACAAAGACACCATTTAATATAATTATCTAGTTCTTTTAATGCTCCAATTCATATACATAAGATTAGCTTGGGCAAATCAAATGACGTAACTGTTAATTAACAAACATACCATAGGGGATCTTTATTCATTTCTAATAACAAAATTATTGACAAACTTTTTTTTTTACAGACTTCAACCAGCCTATTGTGTCCTTCCTTAATTCTCCTTCGCTTAATTCTGCTACGACTTTGCTCAACAAACCTACACAAGTGCTAGAGTTTTTTTTTGTCACTGAAATATCGTTAAGATAAGATTCGGGCAATGTGGCAATCTGTCATTCAGTTCGCATCCCTTCGTGTCCGACGTGACGGGACAGGATTGTTTACCGAGATAGATGTTTATGCGCTCTTCGTTGCATAAGCCTGATTCTTGCGCCAGAAAACCTCTCAGGACGCGCGGGAAAACTCTACGACCGTGCACGTTTCCGATATCACGTTGTTTATATGGAACGCAATTAAACCTCGATCCTCGATCTGGTCACCAGGACAGACCGCGGTTTGCTGTCTGCGGAGGGTCAGGAGAAAATTCTGTTGCTCGGAAGACGGCACTCTGCGTGCTCTCTCACCGCTGTGTACGATTCCCGCGACGAAAATTAAACCCAAGTTATGCTCAATCCTCTTGCAATAGAAATGCTCATAAGTACGCGATTACTTTGCTCGATTTCTTGCGATACTGCAATCGTCAACCATTGCAATCCTTTCCTTCTTTTTAAGCGAAATCACTCTAAAATTGACATAGACACAGAGCAGCCACAACACTACACTCCGCCATGTTAGATCACAACAACGCGCTACGGGGTTCGCCTCATGTATCTCAAGGATTTTAGCGCGTAATACGGATTGATCCGTATTTCAATAAATGTTGCTCCCGTTATTACGAATTACTCTTGAAGCGTATGTACGTAAACTGTCTTTAAATTTGAGATTAAAGGTATAACGCGTCGGAATACACTTGTTTCTTTTATTTTCTCTCTGTTTCATGCTCTCTTAATTCTTAACTGTACATTTTATATTCTACAATGTATCGTCATTTTATTATTTGTCCTTTTTGCAAAGAAAATAGCACACAATGTTTAATAATTATTTAGATTATAAAATTGCTTATGCGTGAGTAAGGAATTATATACAAGTGAATAGGAATTAAATTATAGAAATATTTCATTAGTTGATTTTATTAACACATCGTAATATTTAAAATCGATTGAACGTTGCTTTGTACATTTGTATGTCAAAAAAATGTATAAAAAAGTACTTATCATCAAATTAATTAAATTTGTTTATAGTTTATATATCGAATTGAAAAAACATAAAAAATGGCAGGAAAATTGTAAACAAAAATTAAAAATAAAATTAGATTAATTAAAAAAAAAATTAAATTAAAATTAAATTAAGTTGCAAAGTTTTATGTAAAAAGTTACATAAATATATTGATGAAAGTACTTGTCATTTTGTAACTAATCATAGGGAAATGAAAACTTTCTACGATCTTTGTACCATTCTTTTTAAACGATATATTTTACATTTCCAAAACATTAATACACTTTCTTCCCGTCATAATTTAAATTACAAATAATTCTGTAGGATTTGATCACTATGTTGTCGACATCCTGAGTTTGCGCATTTTCAGTATTGAAAATTAAGGTTATAATTATCTTCTAAAATGATAATGTTTAACGATCGATAATATTTAACGAATAACAATGATTATTTATTCTTTTCGATATAAATACTCGCTATAATTTTGTTACAAATGCTATGACCATAACTATGTATGTATATAATAGCTTTAGGAAGTGTTTTTATAGAACCTCATAAAGGGAGATTAATTGTATTATATTTTGACAACGATATTACAACAAACAAAATATTGTTTTTTGAATGTTTATATTTAAATGAAGATTTTACATCGTAATTTATTTAATATGTTTTTTTATATTGTTTAAAATTTTACTTTCGTACAAAGAGAAACTATAATTATATGTATTACTATTGTAACACCTTATGCACAACTTATTTTTTTTTTATTTAAAATAATTACATACATATGTATTTATCTTAGAATTTCTCTACCTTAATTTATCCCTATAAATAATTTAATTTATTTTGTACTTATCTTTTGCTATCCAATTGCTCAAAATTATTACAAATGTTTCTCCATATATCAAATTTATAAATGTATACAAATTTACATGATGAAAATAAAAGCGTTATTAAATAGACAAATAAATTTATTACATATAATGACAGTTATCTAAAACAATATTTTACAGTCATGTTATAGTAACTGACAATACCATTCCCATGTACAGATACAAGCATCCTTAATATGTAATAATTAGTAAAATCTGTACATTACCATGTATGTAGCGCAAACAAGACTGATAGCATGTTTTAAGTTATATTTTGTAATATAAAAATCATGGGATAAAAAGTGACAAAATTAAAATCATTTTAGATAAAGAATACAGAAACAATTTAATCGATACAAATTATTTTTTAGGAAATATACCAGAAGAACCCATTGTACAAAGGATATATGCGCGCACAAAGTTAAGAAACAAAGACTAGTTATACAATTTATGTTTTGCCTAAAGTAATTTACATAAAAAATTTATCATGTTATTTCCTTTAAATGATTATTTGATACATTTGTGATTATTAATAGTGTAGTATCAACTTTAAATTTCGAGCTCTTAACCATAATTGTTACATTTCTTTTTTTTTTTCAATTATCAATCGTATCTGCAACCAGGCCTGTTATTAATAAAGGTACAATTATATTACACAAATTATCACATAATGTCACGAACATTTATTCTGCCGTAAGCTGAGCTGAAAATTTTTGTAGCCTACGCCTTCGTAGCATTTCTTGTTCACTTGAAGATTCCACGTCATTTCTAATCGATGATTCTGGAGTTACATCAGTACCATTTGTGCCTGATAACGTATTTACATTATCAATGGAAGAATTTTCAATAGGAACATTCATCTCAGCTTTAACTTGTGGTTGTTCGCCGTTAACTCCGGGGCTTGCAATTTTAGATGTTCCTTGTTTCCTCACTGAAGGAACATCTGTTGTAACATTTGCGTTATTTATCGCAGTTGGCACTGGAATACTACAATAAACAAATGTAAAATAAGACAATGTTAATCGTTATTTTTTAACTTTACTAAGATACGAAAAACTTGCACATACTTAGCGGTAGCAGCTGCTGTTTGATATTGATTCATCATAGCACTGGCAGCATCTAATAAAAGCTGAACTCTTTGCAACGTTTGTATTCTAGCTTCAACAGCTTGTCGTAAATTACCTTCCATTGCTCTAAGCTCTTCTTCGCTTAATTCTGTAAGATTCGGTGGTGGCGTAGGAATAGGAGGTAATGGTACCATAGTTGGGAATGGTGGAGGAAACAATGGTACACCACTGGCTGCCAAATTTTGAAACGAGGTTGAAGAAGTACTTGGCCCACTGCTTTGAGCTTGTTGTTGTTGTGCTGATGCACCTGAAGATTGTGGCTGTTGTGGCTGCTGCTGTTGCTGCTGCTGCTGTTGCTGTGGTTGTTGTTGTTGTTGTTGTTGTTGTTGTAAAGGTGGTGGTGCTCCTGGTGCTTGAATTCCAGCCCAAAATGCTGGGAGTACTTGAACTTTATTAAATAAGATATAAATATTAAATTTTGTTATCAATGTTAGCATTAAGTTAAGTATACATACCAATTGGATTAAATCCTGGTGCTTGTGGAGCTTGAGGCACTTGTGGTCCTGCTTGTGCCTGGTTTTGTTGCCTGTTTCCTTGATTATTATTAACAGGTCTTAAAATGTTCAAACGGCATGTAGGACATGTTTGTTGACGTTGGAACCAAGAACGAAGGCAGGCAGTGTGAAAAATATGATTACATGGTAATTTTTTACTTGCCGATACCATTTCCTCCCTAAAATAGTATAAAGTATATTTTTGACATCTCATTAACATTTACATTTTTGGAAAATTTTAATTTTTAATGAGTTAATAACTTTATCCAACCTGCATATGATGCACACATTATCGGCAGCAGCTAATTCTTCTGCTGTTGCATCTGGATACAATGTATTCATATTTCTGATAGCTCGACGTGACATTACAATGTCATGGAAAGCTTTTTTAAAATCTCTCATTGTATAATACATCGCACGAAGTGCAAACAAAGGTAAAGTGTATAATTTAACCATCAAAGTGACAAAAGCAACATATAAAATGACCTGACCCAAAAGATATACTAGATTTAATAATTTCATAAATATTTAAAGAGTATATATATTATTAATCTGCCTTACCTTTAACAGTCCAATTATTAATTCTGTGTACAATAGAAATACTGGTTTATTGTCCCATGGATTTTCACTTTGTAGATCTATCGTATGCAATATGTATTTTACACTAATATTGAATACAACAGTTAAAAGAATAGCATATTCAAAACCAAAGACAAGTTGTACTGAAGGACCTTTTGTGGCTGTTGTGTTATATGCGTAGTGAATCATAGTCAAATTTATAGCAAATAGTAATATCAACAGAGTGCCAACTCTAAGATGAAACAACCAAGTTATTACAGGACTTCGTTCCATCTGAAGAAATGAATCATTGAGTAAATTCCGATGCTTTATCAAATTACCTGCGTTACTTACATAATCTACGCGATCTTCCGCCAGCCAGTGAAACGATTTCAAAAATAAAAGAAGTGTGAACAGTGCTATGAATTTTGGACTAAAATCATCTCTAAATACTGTGAATGCTAGGCAAGTTTCGGTTACAGCGTACCATACTTTTTCCAATAAATGCTGTAAATAAATAACTTTTAGCGTGCATACTTATATACACATATTTTGCAAGTTTTTAAGCATATCGTATATTTACTTCAAGTTCAGCAGCACGTAAAGTACCAAAGAATATCTTTCGGAGGAAAGCATTTATCATAAATACTAGAATTAAACCTTGTGTATAGATTACCTAAATTTTCGTATCGCAGAACAAACGAGAGGATCGTTAGAACGTTTGGCAATGTACGTAAGTATATGTTTAAAAGAAAAAAATTGGAAAATATCAAAACATACCGTCATACTAGGGTTGGATTTGGTTATGTGGACTACTGTTGGGTAAAATTGTTTTCTTTGATAATACGCGTTGCCTATCACAGCACACGTTAATGCTGTGCTTATTAACATTATTCCAGCTTCTCTCATCTTTACGTGGATTATACCTTCAGCCCAAAGGCTGCTCGTCCCGAATGCAATATTTCACTGACACTTATTTCACTAACAATTTATGTACGTATCAACAGCTGTAGATCCAACTGGAATCAACGAGGCGCTGCTATCATAACGACTTTATCCAAGACTATCAAATGAACACATTTATAATATTTCCATATTTTGATAAGAGGAAAAAAAAAAAGAAAAAAACAATCGTTAAATGTTACCTTTTTCGTACGCGTGTGTATCACATCCTTTATTATCTGGAAATCGAGAACTTTACTTCACAGGGGAAACAGAACTTTCGTGTCATATTGTATTGTTTGCGTGTAATGAACGTGTATTATTTTTACTTGACAGTTCCAAATCGGACAGACGGTAAAATCTGATTGGCGGAGCAATGAACAAATGTGTGCGCTATATTTAAACCACGTGGAGTATAATAACAAAATTTCATTTTCACGTTTCCTTCTTTCTTTTATTAAATTTTATGCTCTAATTATTTCATCGCATATGTACACATTAATAGATACAACGTTGCGTAAGCTTTATTTATTTACGAACAGATTACATACGGTTGATAAAACTAAACAAAAAATATAGTATTGTATCATTAAATATCGTAAGGCACTGGGGAATAAATATTTGTATTTTTTTATGTTATTTGTACGAAATTCCATTTTTAAATGGCACAAATTTTAAAATTTCGAAATGTAATATTGTAATTAAAAAATACATGTTTGTACTTTTCTAGATGTATATAAATATATATTACAAGAACAAATACAAAAAAAAAATTTTATATATATAAATACATAACTTCTTTACGCAAAATATTTGTCTAAAAATGTTCTATATTTTATTCTATATTTTAATCTATAATCTATATTCTATATTTTAATATTTTATAATATTATAATATTTAATATTTATAATATTTTATAATATTATAATATTTAATATTTATAATATTTCATAATATTATAATATTTAATATTTATAATATTTTATAATATTAAAATATATGATCATCTGCCAGTATATTCATCATATATTTAAACTTTTTATGTAACATATTTAGAATATTCTTCTATATAGTTATGACAATCTATTTCATTCATAAAAAATACTACTAATAAAAAATATTGTATTATGAAAATATAGTTTTCTTCTAAACTTTATTGACTTGACGTTCTAAGCTAATGTAATGCAATGCTAATGCAATTCAATTTATAATTGAAAGTATTGCAAGGGAAACTTTCTTGAACACATCTCTAATAAATTTGTACCTTGAACTAATTTCTCGGTGTCTTTAAAATACTTTTAGGACTCTGATATTTTGGAGTTCCTAATTGACCAACTGCTTTTAAAGGTGTCCTACGAGAATCGACCAAGGGTCTTCTCACCAATGCCTTGCCGCTTCTAGGTGTCTTTACAGTTAATGGTTTTTTAATATGAGGAGTTTTGCACAACGAATTATTATCAACTTTATAAATAGTTAGTCTAGAGTCTTGCAACATTGTATTCATAGGTACTTGCTGCACCACGGGTGATGTTTTATTTTCTTTTTGATGGGTGGCCGTGTTGCGTTGCACAGAATCTCTGGGAATATTGCGACACGTTTCAACATCCTCTTTCTTGCATTCGATTTCCATTATACTACAAGAAGGAGGATGTTTTAATACTGTTTTTGAATTTCTGTTTTTTATATTTTTGCTCGATCTCCGATGTAATTCCATCCCTTCACAATTTTGCTTTGTAGTATTTGTACACTGATCATTCTCTATACTAAGCAAATCATTTTTTTTGTTCATAGATGCATTCTGGGAGTATGTTTTTGCTGTACATTCATCAAACAATTTCGCTTTGGCCAATACCATTCCTGCATTCTGTGTTCTTAGTTTTGCGATTGACGCGCGACCGGTTTGAGTAACAGGAGTATTCGTTTGGTTTGTCGATTTGAAATATCCATCTGCATCCTTCCAGGACATGACTGTTTTCTTTTTCCCTTCGAATTTTGAACTTAACTTACTCGCTGGCGTATTGTTTAAACTCATGTTCTGTTGGCTGTTCGTCTTCTTTAATTTTTCAACTGTATCACTGGGATACATGATTGTGTTTGTAAATTCATTACCATGAAAAGACGATACTCGACGTACTGTTGTATGTGTTCGATCCTTGACCGATTGAAGGGAACTCTGATTGAATTTTTTTGGGTATACATTTGAATTTTTTAACTCGTTGCCTACATTGTTTAACATTATATTATTTTTTTCTTCTTCCCAAAGAGATGTAGATATAGGTCGTAAGTAATCAGTGTCTTTTGTATAATTTAATAAAAGTGTTTTCTCGTTATGGGAGTTGGTATTACTCAAGTCTTGATTATGTTGTATATGTGATTGTAAGTCTGAACCTCGAGAAATGTGCCACGAAGCAGTTCGTCTCACACGTTTACTGAAAAGTAAGAAAATAAATTTTCAATCGTGAATTATAAAAATATAAAATTTACATAACTCATAAGAAAAAATTCGAGTTTATCACCTCATCATTCTTTCTTGTGACCTTCTTCTTAAACTTCCTATTTTCCGAGCGCTTGGAGATCTGATAATTTTATGTTCATCTGATCTCCTAATTTTGAGTTCTTTACCAAGTTTTTTAGCTAAATAGTCTGTTGATACTGTAGTTTCAATACTAGCTTCTTCCAATGTCTTTTCATATGCAGTTTGTACTTTTTTTACAGAATGTAGTAACAAATCATCATTCCCCTCATTGTTTTCATTATTTACATATTTCAATTCTTGAGAAAGACGAGACTCAATTGCTGAAACTCTATTTTTAATTTCTTCATACTCGCTTTTAGGTATTGTAACATATTCCTCCGATTGATTATCCACAGATGTGACTTGAACGTGTGAATATGTTTCAAAATTATTTACAGTTAATCTTCGTTTCAATGGAAAGGCACATCTTTCATCGTAATTGTCTAGATCATCTTGTGAACTTGAATTTAACTGCGGATGCCATTCACTAGATTTAATATCATTTTTTGTTAACAAGACCTGCTCGTCATTATCGTCTGATAAATTAACATCTACATCACCAAACATATTATTGTATTCTTTGAGTTCATTTGATACCTCGCTGTCTTTTAAAATTAATTTCAAATGCGATGAACTATCACTGTATGCTCTGTATGTTCTTTGTGAATCGCATGAACCACAAACAGAACTCCAACGTCGTTCTGTCTCAGTATCAAAAATGCTTGCACATGATTCTGTACTTTCATCGACAGTTTTCTGTAAATATAAAAATATTATATAGTACTATTATAATCAAACTTGATAAGTCATTAGGTAATTTAAAGATCATTTAATAATATCCTTACTGGCTTTCTCAGTACAAAACGATCTAAGCTAAGCCTAATCTTTTTAGATTTATCTGTTTTATCTATAACTCTCCTAAAACATAAATTTATTATATACATAATACATAATACATAATAATTGTTTATGCATATACAGAAAATGAGCGCATACTTCTTCTTTGTAATTGGTAAATCAGCATTATCAACTTTCCGTTTCTTTGTGGATTTAGTATTTGATATATGCATTGAATCAGAATTTTCAGACATTCTTTGATCATCACGTACATTACCATCTTCAGACACTGCATTTTTGCCAACAATCTTTTTTAGACCATTAAACATTCCTAAAGAAAAGCATTTAAATTTTAAAGAATTCTATGTATAGATGAAAGAATTCTGATCTGTTAAGTAATTAAATTAGTGACAGTTAAGTAACAAAATTAGTGATGTTAGAATAAAAGCTTTATCGCATGCTATTATTATGAAACTTTAGTTAATGTCAGCAGAGTGTAAATAAGAATTTGGAAATAAATTACTATGAACAGATCGACAGACATACTTAGATTGAGGTTGGAGGCACTTAGATGTGGCTTACGTGTAAGACTTCCACTGCGGTGTTTCTTTCTTTTGAATTTTGAACGTAAATGATCAGATACATCTAATTCATTATCTGTGCTGCCAATCGTTTCCATAGAAATAGCTTGTGTTATATGATCTGGTAAAATACCAATACTTTCTGCATTTTCAATTAAAATCTACAATATTTCCAAATTAAACAAATGAAACTACTTTATGTTAAAATTAACGTTCTTCTCCAAGATAAATATATCACCTTGACAACAATTAAATGTAATTCAAGACGCATTTGCACAGCCGACATAGTAGTTACTTGCAAGGGCATGATATTTGGACCAACAACTTTCGCTAAATTATCAATGCTCATTTTATTCTGTTTCTCATATATTGCTACTTTCTTTAAAAATTCCATGAAAAATGCTAAAGTATTCAGATGATGTGGTGGTAAAAGGATACAAGCTAGTAACAATGCTTGTACGCAATAAGTTTTCAGCATAACGCAGTGTACAAATAAATCATGGTATGTATAAGGAATCAATGGCTCTGGCAAGTCTCTGAAGAAAGTTTTTAAACAATTAGCTACATCAATAGCATGATGTTTCTCTCCTAAACTGCCTCCGTTATCTAAACGAGTCATCAATTCCTTTTGTCTAAGCTGCGATCCGGCTTTCCTGAATAATCCCTCCTGGGTAATATACTTTTCTAAAAATGTGGATGCTTGACTGACAAAGATAGGCACATGTACAATAGCGCCAGAAGACAAATTCACGACATCCAATGGTTGATATAACAAAGGTGTCTTGAAGACCTTTTTCGAAATGCGTTTCCCTTCGGAGCTTTCTGTTTTGAACATATTCTTCTTAAAGCGGTATTTAACTCCGTAATTACGAAGATCACTGACGATCGAATGGTATACCCTTTCTTTATGCAGAACATCGTAAATCAACATATTCGTATTTCGTGAATACAGATTATTTGGTCATTAAATTACAGTAAAATTTTTAAAATATAATTTTTTGTTTACGAACTATACGAGAAAACAACAGTTTTCATATTCGTACAAACACAGTCAAACGTACTATCATTTTAAGATTACCACGTAATTAGCGTACAATACTGCCAATCGCGCAATATTTCTCATGAAATGAAACTAGGGCATTAATATCATCAATATAAAATTATTCCAATTATTTTGAAATGAATGCAGAGATACTTAAATTGTACGAATATGTAGAATATATTTTAGTTTACATTATATAATATATTTATATATAATACGTGGAATATAGACTAAAGATATGAATTATCACTAGATTGAGCACATGCACATACATACTACAGACTAAAGATATGATTTATTACTACATTGCATGTAACACACGGGTGCGCATATATTTATATAATACACAAAAATTTATATCTGCAAGAATATGCAGGATACAAAATATTTACTATAATATTTACAGATTAAAACAAGTTTTTATTTAGATTCTATTTCTTTAATTCACAAAGATATGAATTTGTATAAAATATTATTTTGAACATGAATTATTAGGTGCTAATTTCATATGATTTGTAAATCATAAATGTTATTCTTGAATAAAAAACATTTCTCGCGTTTAGTTTTAATTTTAATCATTATTAATGCGATATAATTTTAATTGATAACGCGAGACATTCGCTCTACATTTTATCTTATCTATGGTATTAATGTAACGCGGGAAGACAATTCACGCAAGTTATTTAAATCTCAAATATTTCATTCTTCTCGAACGTTGAATCTTAAACATTTCATTCTGTTTCTATTTTATATCGTTCGCGAAAATTTGTAAAATTTTTAGAGTTATTATGCTTCCAACGAATATGCTTAAATATCGACAATGGCTGTTGGATAAATTAACTAGTCGATATCTAAAATATCAATGTATCAATTGTTTTTCTATAACAAATCAACAGCGTTTGATACAATTACGTACGTTATCGTTTTTACCTGTTTAATTTTTCTAAATTAAATTATTTATTTTGTATAGTTTCGCCAGTTAAAAGTATAGATACGAACCTAGGCTCGCGCAAAATACTCTCTGGTACCGGCTATTTTAAATTGTCGTCTATGAAACTGTACATAACGTAAGATATTTTCAGCATTGAAAAGCAATAAAATTTCTATTTTTTTTTTTTTTGTTTTAAGTTACAACATAAATAACAATTTCGTAAAATACTTCAATCGACGTCATTTAAAACTTACCGCAGATCAATAAACGTCCACAGAACGTATATGTAACTCTCTCTATAAACGTGAACTTATGTATTCAGAACAGTACAAGCTTGATCTAACTTTAGAAATTGATTTTGTACCCAAATAGCACTACTATAAAGTAGACAATTCTTATATATTTAGAGACAATAGTTCATGGTAATCCTAAAAATTATTATATGGCAACGTATAATAATGAAATATCAATTTTTTGAGACGCATTTAAATCAAATTGTCTATAAACTTTTTTTACAGCGTTAGATCAATTGAAGGAGAGAAATATGCAAACAGTACGATTGTTGTCTGGATATGATATGCCCACAGTGGGTTTGGGTACATGGCAGGTGATTTAACTGTTTCATTGAAACAATATTATTATTTAAAGGATCCTTGTCAAATGTTTACATCAATTCATAATTTTTGTTTGAATTTGTATTATGTTACACATCTGTTCTATAGGCTAAGCCTGAAGAAATTGAGAGAGTTGTAACAACTGCTCTGGATGTTGGCTACAGACACATTGATACTGCATTTAATTATAATAACGAAGAAGCAATAGGGTCAGTATTAAAAGAATGGTTTAAAAAAGGTGGAAAGCGTGAAGATCTTTTTATTACCTCAAAGGTAAAGATCTTAACACATGTCAAAGATATAATTTACATGAACGAACAAAAACATAAGATTTAATTACTTTGCAGTTACCCAATTTTGGTAATCGACCATCAGATGTAGAAAGATTCCTTAATTTATCATTGAAAAGACTTGGTCTGGATTATTTGGATATGTACTTAATTCATATGCCTTTTACCTTTAAATTGAATGAAGATACTTGTACTCCAGCAACTAATGAGGATGGAAGTTTTGTGCTGGATCTCAATACAGATCCTGTTTCAGTGTGGAAGGTTTAATATAGTCTTATTAATAAATAAGATGCTAACAACTTGTAGTTTATTGTCTTTTTTTTAATATAAGGAAATGGAAGAACAAGTAAGAAAAGGTCGCACAAAGTCAATAGGTTTGAGTAACTTCAACGAAAAACAAGTCTTAAATGTATGGGAGAATGCACAAATTAAACCAAGTAACTTGCAAGTAAGTTTGAAATGTAAATAAGTTTTATTATATCTCGATAATAATTATCTTAATTATTATTAGGTAGAATTACACGTATGCTTACAACAGAATTCGCTACGACAATTTTGTCAAACGCACAACATCATTATAACAGCCTACAGCCCTTTGGGATCGCCAGGAGCTAAAACGCATTTTCAAACGAAATATAATCATAACATTGAAGACTTTCCAGATGTTCTGGGACATCCAATAGTACAAAAAATAAGCACAGAACATAAACGATCACCAGCACAAATTTTATTGCGTTACTTACTGCAATTGGGGGTAGTCGTAATTCCAAAAAGTAAATCTCCCGACAGAGTTAAGGCGAACATTGACTTGTTTAATTTTTCATTGAACGAAGAAGAAATGAGGACCTTAAGTACTTTAGACAAGGGTGCGCGTGGAAGAATTTTTAATTTTTTGTTTTTCAAGGGGTAAATATATTTATCAAACATACTTTATTTCAAATAATATAAAAATGTGAAATTCTTTTCAATTCTTTTTAGAGTCGAGAATCATCCATATTATCCGTTTAAAGATGAATTGCAGTCCTAATTAAAAAACATATTGTTAATATGTAGTTCGAATACATGCATATTTATACATTGAAAATGTATGAAATACGGTACAAAATGAAAACATATATATATATACAATAATAAATAAATACATAACATAAAATGCAAAGAAGAATCATTACATTTCAGTGCAATCTATACAGCATTTTACGTTGCATACGGTGTTGAAGTTCCCCACGTCGTATCATTGTGTGAATAACTTTGTAAATAGCACGTTCTGGATATGCTTGTTTTACGAAATCTTTAACAATATTTTGCTCTGATACTTGATTTCCAATTGGAAATCTACGTTTCAATTGTTTCTCGATACGTGATAACATTTCATGATCTTCATCCGAGGTAAATCCTTCTGCACCTAATATTTACATATGTTTAGAATGTAGTAGAATAAGTAAAAATACATATTACTAGTTACTTAATTCTAGATTACCAGCTAACGATCCAGACATTGCAGCATCTAAAGTAGATACTTGGAAAAGCCTAAGCGCTTCGTTCACGTGAACTTCTGTGGCGAAAGGCTGTAATTGCATTTTAGCTAAAGATTCTGAAATCCTTATGATAGCTTCCAATTGACGAACTGTTATGGGAATAGATAATCTTTTTTCTATGTCTTTCTCGTGGTCTCTGGTGCTAGCTCGCATTACAACATAACGATTTTTTAATTTCTCTCCTGCCTCTTTGCTAAGTCTCGGACCACAACGACTGTAAAACATACATTAATTAATGACAAATAAATAAAATATTTTGACTAAAAAATAGTCTTACCTTCTACAGTAGTGAATATATTTTTTTAAAATGTGCAATGGTAACTCTCCTTCCGCCGATTGCTCTGTAACTTGCCCAGCATTGCTATGGATGTTCATCACATGTTTTGCTAGTGTTATATCTCTATTTTGCTCGTGCTCATCTTTAACAATAAATATCATATCAAAACGGGATAAAATTGTCGGCATAAAATCAATATTTTCTTCTCCTTTTATTTCATCCCAACGACCAAATATTGAATTTGCCGCTGCTAGAACTGAACAGCGAGTATTTAATGTCGTGGTTATCCCTGCTTTTGCAATTGATATTGTTTGTTGTTCCATAGCTTCGTGTATTGCAACTCTGTCGTCCTCTTTCATTTTATCAAATTCATCTATACAAACGACACCACCATCTGCAAGAACCATGGCACCTCCTTCCATGACAAAATTCCTCTACAAATTAAGTGGAATTTTAGTAAACATGAAGCAAATACATTTACATTTAAAAATTAAAAGAATAACTTACTGTTACTGGGTCCCTTAAGACTGATGCCGTTAGACCAGCAGCTGAACTTCCTTTACCAGATGTGTAAATTGCAACTGGTGAAACTCTTTCTACAAACTTTAATAGCTGCGATTTAGCTGTACCAGGGTCACCTAACATTAAAATATTAAGATCTCCTCTCCTACAAAGCCCATCGGGCATTCTTTTCCTAGAACCACCAAACAATAGGCAAGCTATAGCTTTTTTGATATCTAATGCACCGAAAATACTGGGAGCTATACTCCTTGCGATTTTTTCATATAAATTAGAATCTGAAGCAAGACGTCTAAACAAATCTTCTTCTTCACTTGTAAAGCACGAATGGATACCTGAAAATCATGAGAATTAAAAAATACTCTTCAATAAAAATTAGTTTTATAAAATCATTTTATGCTGTTTTACCACTGCCTGTATTTTCTCCATCCACGGAAATGCCAATGACTCTTATATACGGTGCTCGAACACCGACTAATGTTTTATCTTTTCCTCCTCTATTAGTAGTACTTCTAGTAACTTTCTTAATTGAATATATACCCAAAATAAGAACTCTATTGCCCGGCACAACTCTGTCGCACAAATAACGGTCGCAATACAACTGCAAGTGCCTCGGCATTTCACCTTGCGGAATTTGATCTGGCAATTCTTGTAACTTGAGAACTTGAAAATCAATGCAATGACATTTATCTGGCATTATGAAAAATGGATCCAAAGGACACTTTGGTCTTCCTGCTTGTTCTGTCGTGCATTTTCTAGGTAAAACATATCCCTCTAAACCAGGTTTTATTGAAATGTTAGTTTGCATGCTTCTGCAAGAACGACACTGTATAGCTATTTTTGTTGCTTTTGCCCTGATCCCAGATGCAGAAATGATAATACCAGGTATTTTGATAAGTTTAGAAACTACATCGGGCTAAAACAAAACAATTTAATGAATGCTATACGTGCAATACAAAGAACACTTCTCTCTTCTTTTTTTTTTTTTTTAGAAAAATATTACTTTTTTTCAATCGTACTTTGATTCCCCTTAACGAACTTGGATGTGCATCCGAAGACAATAAAACTTGTATATCTTCAACCTTCTCTTCATCTGGCGGCCTCGGTGCTGTAAGTTCGTCTACTAAATCTTTCGCAGCTTCCTCTAAAATGGGCAAATATTCAGTTGGATGCTTATAGACTTTCTCTGCGAGTGATTCATCAAAAGCAGCCAAATCTTCTAAATTGATTTCTACCCAGTATTGACCCAAATTGTAATTGCGTTTCAAAGTGTCTCTGAAAGAATTATATTATTCTCTCTTTCTCTTTTTTTCTCCTTTTTTAACTCCTATATATTAAAAAATTTTAAACTCATTCATGTACCTATATTTGTAATTGAAATTTCCCTCATGGAATTGTCTAATAAATTCCATGAACTTTCTTTTCGAATGTTGAAGATTAGTCTGCGTTTCATTGGACTCGCCTACGGAGAAATTATCAGAGAAGAATATTCCTGGATCGTCGAATCCTTCCATTTTTTACTTGATCTTTTTTTTACACTTCCAAAAACATACAGTCGTGCAACACTCCAAGCAAACGGCATTTGGCGGGAAATATTTTGGTTGCATCCTTCGAATATTTCAACATAGAGTGGGAAAGTACGAGAGACGATACTTACCTGTATCTCGGTACGCTTAATTCGCATTGCGTCTCAAGATGCAGTCACACGTGCATCGCGTATAAAACAAACTTGAAGTAGATTAAAGATCGAAAAAAATAAATATAAGTAATAACATTGCTATAAAATTATAAAGAAAAATTTTCTGTAGATCGACAGTGTCGCCATCTGGCTAGGCAGACTAACCTATCTAAGTGAACTTTCTAATTCACAGTATACGTATAGTAATTTTCATGTTGGAAGAAATTGTCATTGAATTTTTTTCTGCGTTTGCGATACAATTTGTCAGATTAGCATAAAAATAATAACACATTTTTCGTTCGTGTGTACGCGATTTATGTGCGCAAACGGAGAATGACTGAAATATGTAAATCACACTTGGCTTTTGCAACTCCGTGAACAACTTGTATTAATGGTATGAAAAACATTATTTGGAGATTATTTAATTATGAAAAATATGCATTTTTCATTATTGGCGAATATATCAATTAAGTATTGTTTCAGATTCCTTGTCATTCTTGTAAATTTAATTGCAGGCAGGGAATTGCAGAATTCGCGAAAGTGCTAGTTTCGTACAATGTAAATAAACAGCAGCCACTTTTATTGTGTAGAATACATTTTTTAGAAATCTAATCAGAAGTATAATTTTTGAAGTGACAAGTGTGTTTTGTTCAAAATTCTTTTATATCATTTTAAAACATGCAATTATTTCTTTGATTTCTGATATTCTAGAATAATACCAGATACAAGTTTGACAGATGTTTATTTTCAAAAATTGAAAATTTTTATATTAAATTTTTACTCAACAATATATTGTTATATACAACATATTTTTTTATACATACAACAATATATTGTTATATACAACATATTTTTCAGGTTCATACGTTACTTATGTAGAAATGAGTCCATATCTGACAAGAAAACGTGCTGCATCAACACGAAGTTCTAAAGAGACACAATTAAGTGACAAAGATACTGTTCCCAAAATGACATCTAAAACCAGAAGTGTTATTAACAAGACATTAAAATTGAAAGGTCACGCTAAAGTAACAAATGCAGAATCAATGTATCAAACACAAAGGACAAGGAATAGGAAAGGCAATACATCTGTCTCACAAACTGAAAAGAATGTGCAAAAGGAAAGACAAAAGAGAACAAGAAGTAATGATTTGTCAAAAGATGATATCAAAGATACTGTGAAATCTAAAAAGGTCGTTACGCATAGCAGTTCCGAAATTAAAAAAAAAGATATAAGAACTGAAAAAAGGAAAGTTATCACAAAAATAACCAGAAATACTTCTAATTCAAAACAGACATCTTTGAAAGAAGCATTTTTAAATCAGTCTAAAGTAAGAATTCTACGTTCCCATAAAAATTCCACGAATGATAAATCAACAAAAAAGCTAATTAGTCCTAAGAAAAAAAAAGTACCTGTTTACAAATGTATTTCGCCAGAAAAGTCTAAGGAAAGTACTAATGAAATATATGAGTTTAAGTTTGATATTAATGACTCGACTGAAAGAGTACCAAAGAAACGAAAGAAAAGAGCTGTTAAAAAAACAACGACAAATAAGAGAAGGAGAAATGTGTCAGTAAAACAAATTAACACGAAACAACTAACTAAATCTAAAAGAGTCAAAGGAGTAAATGTTAAATTTGAAGAAAATAATCCTGTGGAACTTTCAAGTAAAGATAAAAATGATGTATTAAAGACAGATATCGTAGAAACAGGTGTGGAATTGGATAAAGAGATGAAAGATTCAGGAAATATAACTGGTGAAGAAAATGCTAATACAATTAAAAAACCAACAATTATATCAGTAGAAGATTTGAGTAATAGAAGAATTTCAATAGTGGGTACTTCACAAACATCAACCTCGCCTGATTTTAAACCATTTAGACCAACAAATATTTTCAATAACAGATTAACTGCACAAAAAAAAGATGCACTTAATTTTTCTCTATTTGAAAAATCTTTGTCGCCAATTGTAAAATCAACAGAAAATCTTCAAATACCTCCTAGTCCCTGGAGGGTAGCATCATTGTATGGGTTTTCTCAAGTGAATAATGTATTTCAAAGCACGCCTCAAAATAATAAATACGACATTGTTAATAAAAAAATTTCACGAGTAAATAATGAAGTATTAAATAACGAATCTAAACAATTTGGAAATATAACAAAAATGAAAAATAATTGGCAAAAGAATAATGAAAACATGAGCGCAGGGAAGCATGTACATATTAATACCAAAACGAGAAATCCTTTAACTCCAAGAAAATTTGGCACAGAAATTACAAACTTAGATCATTCTGTACAGATTAAATCTTCAATAGAACAAACGAGTGAACAAATATCAACTAAAACTGAGACTAATCAGTTAAATGCAGACTCAACCAATGTAATTATTTCCAATGTAAGCAAATTTGATAATAATGAAAATAAAACGATAAATATTTCAAGTCCAAGGAAGAGTTTTAAAAAAGGAATAATAAAAGTTAAACAAGGAGGAAAAGTTGACAAGGAAGAAAATTTTGATCCTCAACCTGGATCATCAGATTTACAAAGTTCAATTCCTAATGAAGAGAGACTGTTAAAGCAATCAAATTTAAATAATTTCTTAAATATAATGGAAACACCACAAAATACTATAATTAAAACAGCTCATGGAATTTTTGATGATGTACAGTCAACATCAATTACTAGCAAGGCTAATGTATCTACTATACTATTAAAAGATACATTTGATTTTAGTGATGATTCTAATCAAGAGTCTCCTATTAAAGATAAAGATAACAAAAAAGAAAAATTCACTCAAAGAAACACAGAGTTATGCAACATAAAACCTATTAGATTATCAATTGGTGAAATAAAAAATAAGTTATTGACTAAAGAATTAAAAGAAGATATACACAATAAAGAAAATATATTAATTAAAAAGAAGAAAGTAAAAAAATCACCCATTGAGAGAAGGAATAAACATAAACATGTTGATATTGTTAACTTTTCTGACACATTTGATATTCTCTCTGAAACAGGTGAAACATCAGCAGCTTCTGCAAATAGTGTTCCATTATTTGCTGATTTAGAACCATCTCATTTTACAGAGGTACATTGTCCGTAGTTTTATTATTAATATTTTATAAATAAATTAATGATATTCTTGCAAATACATATATTTATATTTTACGTTTTAGCCCCCACGATATTCGTACAAACGAAAACGTGCCACAAAAATTAGTTATTCGGATGATGAAAGCGATGAAGAGGAAAAACGAATAACGGAAAATGAAATAAAACGAAAGAAAACTAATAAATTGAAGAAAGATCAGGAAGAAAGATTAGTGGAATGGATTGAAAATATTAACAAAACATTTAATGAAGTGGATAAATATGAACTTGTGATCGAGTAAATTATTTATTGTTATTATTATTACAGAAAAATAACTATTACTAAAGCTTTGAATTATATTAACTCTTTCCAGTCGGAACGCTTAGAGGCAGGTATAGCTACTTGATCGCAGCGCTTACTCGATCTAAGGAATATAATAATAAGGTAACTGAGAAATTATCTTTTAGCTAAAGATAATTTCTGATCTGATTGATCTGAAGGATCTGGTCTATTTAAGACTTCATGATTTCATGACTTTATTATATATTATATATAATATAATTATAATTATGTTATATATAAGTGTACAAGTGTCTCAAAAGTGCGGTGACAGATGTAAAAAAGAAGCAATGCACTGGCGATAACACAAACATCTGAGCTGGAACTTCAACCGAAAAGGTTAATAGTGTTGTAGTATCTATGTATAATATAATAGTATCTATGTGTCTTATTTTATAGTAATAATGTATAAGTTTATAAATGAAGCTTGTATAGCAATGAATATTTAATAATTTTATATTTATAATACATACATATCTTCATATTGCGAGATTATCTATAAATTATCACTTACATAAGTTATTATAAATTTTATTTGTATCGTATGTTTTTTTTAGATTATTAGGAATTTAGATTATAAAGAAATATAGTTGTACAGAATATTACAATAGCGAGTAAGTATTAATAAAGACTATAATGTTTGTATGTATGAGTATATTATTTTGATTTGACAAATAAACAATTGATGTATTTGTGCAATAATAAATTTTGGAATTTTATTTCTTACTACATTAGAACAGAGATTTTAAACAATTTGTAAGTTTGTTTCCATACATTTTTTATAAATAAAAAATTTCTTAAAAACTAAGTATTATTTAATATTGTAAATTTGCATTCGAACTATATCTCACTTAAATTAATAAATATTTTATTTTTAGATTTTATTAGATTTATATAAATCTAAGCTTCTATATTTTCCGTATAACACTTTTCTCTATATATCAAATATGTTTATACATGAATTATACATATACATTGATATATTTATAAAGTATTAATCATATAAAATACAAATATGTATGTACACACATATATATGCTATGTGTGTATTTAACTAATTGTAAGACAAGTTATATATAGTATATACATGGATATACATATAGGTCAACTTTTTGTAAATTAAATAGAATATAAAAAGAAATTTAATCAGAAAAATTAATCTTTTTAATTAATTTTTTTTTGTAATTGAAAATTTGTTTATTCACGGTGTAACTAATCCCTATAATTGTCGTGTCACACATTGTTATGCTTCTTATATATGAATAAGCACGCGTTGCCATTTATAGAAAGAAAACTTAGATTCCAATTTAAAAAACATAATTATGGAAGCAATCTTATTACAATATAGAATTATATAGAATTAGATACTTGGTTAAATAATCTTGATTTGATAGTTGGTCAAATAGAATTATATACTTGGTTTGCGTTTTACTTTTGATTTCATGGAAAAATTTTGTTTTAATTTAAACTGAATTGACAGGATACGAAGAAACTACTTTGGTCAGATGACCTTAAAACATGGGATACGAACAAGCATTGTACGTCTATTTTATCTTTAATCGGTGGTTGTACTATCGCAAACGTGATATATGTACAACGTCTGCGATATCACAATTATGTTAATAACTTTATTATCTTTGACGATTGACTCAATTTAAATGTAATTTATGTTTGCCCTACCAGGGGGGCGTAAGAAACACTTAAAAACTTCCTATGCCAGTATTTCAGAATCTGAAGCACAACGTCTCATGTAATGTCATATCTATTTTATCTTTAGTCAATGACGAAAACATAATCGAGTACGGGTTGTAACGTACTCGACTAGTATATAGATAGGATAACCTCTTGAAATCTGATTATATGCATAAAATTTGTGTCATGCTTGGTGTCCTTTATATGCAATTTTAATTACGTAAACTGAAATTAAGTTACGAGGTACAGAAAATATGGAGGAGTGCATTTCCAGTGTAACTGAAGAGAAACGGACGAAATGCTTTCCGTGTAACTCGTCTAACACTGTGACTTACAATTTGAAGTGATTAGCCATGAAATAATCCGTGTTTTTTGCATCAAAATGCATTTATATATATTTATATACCGGAGGAGTACCATAAGAAAGTAGGTTCGGGGCGAACATAGCGTGGAAAAAGCATATTTACAGACATATATATATTTAATATATTGGAGACATAGTAGCCAGATTAGTCTACCAAGATGTCAATACTCCCATTTTTTTTTTTTTTTTCATTTATCTCGCAATCGATGATTATTTACGAAGATTATCGATACACTCTACTGATTTCAATGGCCTTGAAATACATTGTCGAAGACGTTTCTAAGCAATTTTTCCCTAGGCATGTAATTGTCGCTCTCTTTTAGTTTTCGAGATACTCGCAAAAATATATTCGATACTGTATACACGATATTTCCGTGTTTTAGATTGGGTTTTGGTTAGAGATTCGGGGTGGGGGTGCACCGAGTGGGGGTTTGCCTCTGCCCCGTCCCTCATTTTCGCTTCATTATACACAATTATAGTCTGGTTAATGAATTGAGTAAGTAGACACCAGCAAAACTGATGATTTGTCAATGTAATGGCAGAAATCTATCCGATACGATAATAATTTTATTTCACTAAAAATTGTGCATTATGAGGTAAAAGCATAGACGCAGGATAGTCTAAACCTTAAAACGCAAACTGGTGCAGTATATTTTTGCATATTTCAAAGCTATTAAAATCGGTAGGGTGTATCTTTGTAAATAATTCTTGATTTTCTTTTTTTATATTCGCCATTTTTTAATTTCTATTGTTTTTTAAATGTTACGATTAAATATCGACAAACTTTGATTATGACAGTTTTTGGAACATTCTTTTCTCAGATAATAAAATGTATGTACATGTAACTTCTTTTTTATTTAAAAAAAAAAACCACAATAATTTTGAAAAATTTGTACTTTTATTTTTTAATGAGTGAATAAGGATTTTCTAAGCAGTAAATAAGCGTGCTCAATATCGTAATAGCGATACAATTTATGAACACAAGGATAGTCTTGATAGCTTACCGATGTAACGTAATACACACGTGTATAGTGTTATTATCGTACAACTTCGAGCACACACGATGTTTACGACGAACGGGTATGTATTATAATTAATCTGAATCTATAAAGAATTTTATATTCGAAAACAGATTCCTGAGCATGGTGGCACAGAAGTCTCCTACATAGAGAATGTATTTATAGTTACACTAGTTACATTGTTTTCTTTTTGAATTATGGTACGCGCATACCATTATATTGCATGTACTCTTTCAAACGAGCTTCGTGAAACGTGATTATCTCTACTTTTTATCTGACTAATGCCCAATTTAAAAAAAAAGGTAACAAACATACTTCTGTAAAGTATAAATTCAATAATATTTACACTTTCATAAATTACAACATAGAGAAATTAATAGCTTCATATAATTTCTAACTAAATTGAAAAAAAATGTTAGTAATATTATTAATATCTTTTGAATGGTTTACGTATTATTATGATATACAAAATATGTCAAATGTAATGTACTGTTATTACCATAGTACTGATAATAACACTGATAAATAATACATATAATACTAACAATACTGATAAAATGCATTGAAAAACATTATGCTAAATATTGTTACTTATTCAATAGGTGAACTAATTGTACTTTATTCCGTCATTGATTCATTTTCTTCCTTATATTTAGCTTTAATTGAAAGAAAATTGCCTTCGTCGTATTTGCTTCGAATAATATTAAAACGTTTACGGCCGGAATTAATAGTTGTGTAAAAAATACATATATAAATCTTGCATCCTTATTGGAAGAAGTCTGAAAGTTTAATTAATATTACATCATACATTGCGAACAGAAAAAAAAATTGTTTATAACATAAAAATTAATTCCGAAAGAACGTAAAATCTCTTATACGTTTGTCAGCGCTGTAGAAATATGCAATATGCGTTTGGCTGGAATCGATATCGCACAATGGACGTTAAATTAAAATTGCTAAATAAATTTCTATATTTAATACCATTACCATTTGACCTTATTATGCTATTTGTATAGTAATTATGAACTCGCTAGGAAACTACGAAGCTCGACGGTACGAGTATCGTAGTTATTTACTGAGGGACACACAACTCGAACTGCAGAACGGATCATGTAGTAGCTTCGTAAGATTCACTTCGAAAAACTAGTATGCGAAGGAAATATGGATGCTGCTGATATAATTAAATCAAAAGATATCGGTGTACACGATACGTGAGAAAGAAAATCTGCGTGTAAATATCCAATTGCAACTATGAAATTGAGTGCGTATAACAAGCCGTAACACAATTATATGTAGCTATGTGTAAAGTAGGTCGACATGTATGTACGTCCCGTACCAAAGAGCGTAACTTCAGTTTAGCAAAAATTTAGCTTATACCGTTTTATCTTCTACGCAAGTATTATTTATTTATTTCCCACCTTCATTACGGGTAGCTGAGATCATGGTATTTATGTCGCTCATAAAAATTGAAATTCATAAATGGAAACGTTTTGCTTTGTTATCTTTACGTTGTAAGTTACAGAATCGAATAGTCCGGTGACATGAAGAAAAATTCGTTCGATGTATATTAGGGACTTCGGAAGTTTCTTGAGATCAAGCGTTCATAACAATAAACATCTTGTTAGAAAGACATAAAAATTCCTTAATTATGTAGTATAGTATATAAAACACCATACATGGTGTACACCGTACATCTACTCTATACACATACATATGTAAACATACTATATACTGTACATATATATATAATATCCATCTTAAAAGTAATAGAAACAATTAATTAATAACAATAATTAACTGTCAGCAATTCTGAATAAAAAGCAACTACTTTCTATATACGATTTATAAGCCTGCATTTCACTTAATTCGATTGAATAGCGTATGTAACCAGAAGTTTCTATTCAACGGTGTTACAGAAAAGCAGATGTACAGAGAATGTGCATCGAGTAACGTGCAAATTGAATTTCGAACCAAGAATCGTCTCGGAAAGATCATTTTCCAATTCATTAGAAAATATACTGCTACTTTCTACGATATGGTCATTGACTTGAAACTCGAATTATTAATTACAACAATTTTCACACGTACGATCAAGCCGTTAGATGAGCTACTTAGAAACTAAACTATATATTATCTCATTTTAATACGTATCGTTAAATTTTTTTACATTTTCAAAAACAAAATTACATATTTATAAATTTAAAAGTCTCTGTTTATTATCTCGGTAGAGTCTAATCGGCTTAGTCTCTTTGCAGTTGATGTTCAAATTTCTTGATCAAAGATCTAGATGTCCAATATTTCAAATATGGTTTATATAGTGATGATACTTGCCACGTACACTCGTTGCCTTCACTCTAGGCAATAAACATTAAATTAAGAGCTTTAAGTGTAAAAGGGGTGCAGCGCGAAAGAGAAGAGTCGCCATAGTCTTTCGGAGAACAGTGTCTAAAGGATAAACGAAAATGGTGGGGTGCTCGTTGGGAAATAAATATATTCACCCCACCTTTCAGGACAAATCTCCCTACTCCTCCTGAAACGTTAGCACGTCGCGCTTCGCTATCGCACAGAATCACGGACAAATCAAACATGGCGATTCAGTCGCTGTTTGCAGTGAAGGCATACGGTTCGTAAAACGGGAGTAGAAGGTATCAGGTAGTGAATCAGGTAGTGTTTTTAAATGGTAATGAGTACCAGCACCATTGTGAATCGCCGAATTCTGGTTAATATTACGAATATGGAGGATCATGATGTCAAAACGGTAATGGAGAAAGTGTCGGGCGGCATTGATAAAATACGTGACGTGAAGGGCGTACAGGCAGAGTCGATGCCTGCGGCGTCATCGTTGCACCTTACGGAACAAGTGTCGCTCTCTTCTGGCGAGAACATCAACAAAAACGACTATATCGATAAGAAAACTGTAAGATATTTTACTTTACTATTTTTGAATGTTCGAAAATGCTCGCAATATATATAAAGATTTAAATGTCTCAAGTCAAATCGATTTAATTACAGTCTCGGACTCGTTTTTATAAGTGAATTTTAGTCAAGATTAATCACATTATAATACTCTTGTATTTCTTTGAACGAATTTCGAAAACATAATATAATTTAATGTAATTAAAGTATTTAAGTAAAAATTACTTAATTAATTCGATTGTTTTTATGTTTTAGTGCTCTAAGCTATTGTTAAAGAATTCTGGGAAATTTGAAAGTGGTAGTGGTAGTGGAGATCAGGAGGGAGGTCAGCATGAGGATGGGAATGATATTGCAGCGAAAAAAAGAAAGACTCGCAGAGGTAAACCTAAACATAGAAAATTAAAACCATATTCAAAGCAACAGTTGTCATATCAACAACAGCTGAGATATAGATCTAGAGGTCGATTAGCAAAAACTGGTAGACAGCCTCCAGCACCGTATAATACCACACAGTTTCTTATGGATGATCACAGTGATCTTCCAGATCTTGACCAAAAGCTTTCAGAAGCTGCATCTTCAGAATTGCCTACAACATTTCAGAAACCATCAGCCCCTTCTCGTACTCGAGATTCTAGTTTCAGTGTTGATTCCGACGAAGATTATTTTTATTCGTCTCCAGAAGACGAAGAAGAATTCTTAACTAAGGAATTTTCAACTGCATACGAAGATCTTCACGCTGAAAGATTAAGCACATTAAGTAAATCAGAACTGATACAAGAGTATCTTCAGTTAGAAGCGAAAGTAGATTTATTGACAAAACGGTTACGTGGTAAAAATCTTCATCAAACAGAACAACGAGACTTGGAAAGCAACAGTAGTAGTATAGACACAGAATCAGCAAAAAAGTTAAAAATCTGTCAGCAACGAATTGACGATTTAATGCAACAGAATGAACAGTTAAAACGGGAAAACGAATCATTAAGAGCCAAAAGGCACAGCAGTCCTGTTTCAAGTGTTGATAGCGAAAGCGACAGTGATAGTACAAGTAACGGGAATAGGAGCAGATGTAGTTGTCTCCTTCCAAATTCTAGCTCTTCTTCAGAACTTATGGGATATGTTTCTAGAAGTAAAAATAGTCAAAGGAATGGCTCTGTGTCCAGTACTGATAGTAAAAGTGATACTTGTGATAGTAGCTCAAGTGACAATTCTAAAACATCTCTGACTCCAGTTAATCTTTCAAATGGCCATGTAAACGTTCAGAAAATGGACGGTCTCCCTACATAAATTACAAAAAGCTGATTTTACATATAAAAAATCTATTCAATGGTTCAAGAGTTAACATACGAGTCTTATTAAATACGTCATTGGTCATGCATATTTGCTTTAATCCTATCGCTTTAGGAAACAAGACTGGTTTAAATGCAATATTATTGCACTTGTGCAGTGAGAAGTCCTCTTCTTAATACTAGCATATGTAACCTTAGATCAGGGGTGGCGAATTGGCGGTCCGCAGGTCGGTCATGGCCCATGCCCTTACTTTCTTGATCGGTGACACGATCCCTTCCACTGCATCGATCTCTTCACTGCATTGACTGTCATTGATTTCATTGATTGTCATTTCGTCAGATTTCTTTCTCGCCGTGCATGAGCACTCCCTTATGAGTTACTTCCCTTGCTTGATGGGGGAATCGGCAGAGTGAGTGAGCAGCTCGAGCAGCCGGCTGCGAGGAAGAAGTTCGCCACTTCTGCCTTAGATTATCCTTGAATGTGCCCTTACAATTTACTTTCCACGTTTCTTTTAAGACTGTTTTGTGTAAACTTAAACATGTGTAATGAAGTAGAAAATACATACCTAATCTTATGGAAGAGTAAAAATTTATATCTGTGCAAAGGTAGATTGTTATGTGCTTGATAAAATTTGCAAAGGAGTATATTTGTGGTGTATTCTCTATAATGATATTTCGTCTTCATTTAGTATTAATTATGATGCAGTTGAACCAATTCATCATTTAATAGCTTTCAATGAACTGCCATTTGATGGTACAAAAATGTATAAACTTGGGGTTCACAGACCATCAACTAATAAATTATGAAATTAGATGTGATCAAAGATGTAAATTGTAATGTTACAAATAATTGTGATATTGTGTACAATTGTATAAATTTATTATATCAAATTAGGTGTTAGTTTATGGTCTGAATATATGATGTGTTAAAGATATTTCGCACTTGAAATATTTAATAAATCTCAAAATTTCTTTCTTTTATTATAATTATTTTCCTGAAACATAATTGAAGGAAGCGAGTAAACTTCCTCCGATGGAACAGTCTTTCATTACGATAGAGAATGTTTTCCGTAAGAGTTTAATAAAAATACATTAAGTATATTTCAAAGTAAATTTATCTTGCTATCGTAAGATGTATTGTAAAAATGTACATAAAGTCCAGTTTTTGTTTTATTTGCTAAAAAAAAGTGATAAATGAAGCGTTATATATAAAAAGAATTTCTTCTTTTTTTTAATGAATTTAAGTAAAAGAAAATTTTAAACGACTGACAGTTTTTGGAATTGAATATAGAATATATAATTTTACGTCTTATTTTGTTTTCTCTTTATTTCTTTTTCCATTCAATCAAAGTGTATATATTCGCGTAATTAGCATTGTAAGAAGTACATAATTTGCATTTGGAAGATTTTGAAACACAGTTCTTGTGAACCAGGCCTAATACACTGTGAAACGTTGCTAACTTCGTGGCGCGTGAAATTGAAAAGTACGCAAGGCCAGTGTTTGGTCGTATCTTGTGGCTGAGGTATTAACAAGTTTGTAAAAGTTGTCGGTCAGAATATTATGAAAGCAATGTCTCATCATTATGTGGTAACGGCACATAAGCCTACAGCAGTCACTGCGTGTGTGACAGGTAAGTAAAAGTGTTCGTACGAAAAGAAATTGTATGCTCTTCGTCAACAATTATTTTCTTTTTATGTATAAAGGTAATTTTACCTCGCCTACGGATTTGAATCTTATATTAGCGAAAAATGTTCGATTAGAGATATATCTTGTTACACCAGAAGGTTTGAGACCACTGAAAGAAGTTGGAATTTATGGAAAGATTGCAGTTGTTAAATTCTTTAGACCGCCGGTAAGGTTATACTAGTATCTTTATTTTATAACTTATCGTATCTCGCTATTTATTGTTGTTCTATCTATACTAACATTTAGTGTAATGAATTCGTATGTTTTTATGGAATATATACATATATATATCTGTATATTTGTGACATTTTATAAGAATAATATAACCTTGTATGTATACAAAAAAAAATTATCTGATATCAAGCATGATTAACAATGTGTATAAGTGTATGAAATTAATGTGAATTTTAAGTTGTAATAAAATGAATTAATACATAATTGACAAATTGTAATATATTTCTGCAGCATGAGAAGAAAGATCTGTTGTTTCTTTTGACCACTCGTTACAATGCCATGATTTTGGAATGTATTGGAGAAGGAGAAAATATAGAAATCATAACGAAAGCGCATGGGAATGTGGCAGACCGTATTGGGAAAGCTTCTGAAACAGGAATCAAAGCCGTGATTGATCCCAAAGCGCGTGTAATTGGCTTACGGTTATACGATGGCCTCTTTAAAATTATACCTCTTGATAAAGATAATCCGGAATTAAAAGCATCGTCGATACGTATGGAAGAACATCAAGTGCAAGATGTGAATTTTCTCCATGGATGTGCGAATCCTACATTGATTCTGATTCATCAAGATATTAATGGAAGACATGTCAAAACTCATGAGATTTCTTTGAGAGACAAGGAATTTGTCAAAATACCATGGAGGCAAGATAATGTAGAACGCGAAGCTATGATAGTCATTCCAGTACCTTCTCCTATCTGTGGTGCAATAATAATAGGTCAGGAAAGCATATTATATCACGATGGGAATACATATGTTGCAGTTGTGCCTCCAATTATAAAACAGAGTACTATTACATGCTATGCTAAAGTTGATAACCAAGGACTTCGATATTTGTTAGGAGACATGGCTGGACACTTGTTTATGTTATTTGTGGAGCAAGAAAAGAAACCAGATGGCACACAAGTTGTGAAGGATCTCAAAGTTGAACTTCTGGGAGAAATTAGCATACCTGAATGCATTACATATTTAGACAATGGAGTAATATTTGTTGGTAGCAGACTAGGCGATTCACAGCTAGTTAAATTAATTACAAAAGCAGACGAAAATGGTTCCTACTGTGTCCCAATGGAGACTTTTACTAATTTGGCACCAATAGTTGATATGGCAGTGGTTGATCTTGAAAGACAAGGTCAGGGACAAATGGTTACATGTTCTGGAGCTTTTAAGGAGGGTTCCCTTAGAATTATTAGAAATGGGATAGGTATTGAAGAACATGCAAGCATAGATTTGCCAGGTATCAAAGGTATGTGGGCATTAAAAGTTGGTGGTGGTATTTATGATAACACTTTGGTGTTATCTTTCGTGGGACAAACCAGAATTTTGACTTTGAATGGAGAAGAGGTCGAGGAAACAGATATTCCAGGCTTCGTTGCTGATGAACAAACCTTTCACACCGGTAATGTTACAAATGATTTATTTATTCAGATCACACCAACGTCTGCCAGGTTAATCTCGTACGAAACTAAAACAGTCGTTTCTGAATGGGAGCCAGAAAATAAGAGAACCATCAGTGTGGTCGCTTGCAATGGCACGCAGGTACTTTGTGCCACTGGAAATGACTTATTTTACATGGAAATTTCGTGCGGGCGGATTGTACCAAAAGGATTTGCTACTTTACAATATGAAGTTGCTTGTTTAGATATATCTCCATTAGACGGTCATACCGAAGCGAAAATCGCCGCAGTAGGTCTATGGACGCATATTTCTGTCCGCATCCTAACTTTACCCGCCTTGGAAGAAATTAACAAAGAATTACTTGGTGGTGAAATTATACCTAGATCTATTTTGATGACGTGTTTCGAAGGTAATACGTATCTGCTTTGTGCTCTCGGGGATGGCAGCATGTATTACTTTACATTACACAAACAGAACGGTATACTTTCTGACAAGAAGAAAGTTACTCTGGGCACACAACCAACGGTCTTGAGGACTTTCAGATCATTGTTCACCACTAATGTTTTCGCATGTTCCGACAGGCCTACTGTAATTTATTCGTCAAATCACAAACTAGTATTCAGCAATGTCAATTTAAAGGAAGTAAATCACATGTGTTCTCTAAATGCAGAATCATATCCGGATAGTTTAGCGTTGGCAACTGACAGTACGGTAACTATCGGGACAATCGACGAAATTCAGAAACTGCACATTCGTACCGTTCCCCTCGGGGAGTCGCCGAGACGAATTGCTTATCAAGAAAGTTCCCAAACATTTGGAGTAATAACGATGCGCGTTGATGTCCAGGACAGTAGTGGTGTTAGTATTGTAAGGCATTCCGCATCAACGCAAGCAGCCTCCACATCTAGCAGCAGTCACATTGCATCGTACAACAAACCTACGGGGCATACAGCTAGCGACATTTGTCAAGAAATTGAAGTACACAACCTGCTCATTATTGATCAACATACTTTCGAAGTTTTACATGCACACATGTTAATGCCCACTGAATACGCATTATCAATGATATCGACGAAATTAGGCGAAGATCCGACTTCTTATTATATCGTTGGGACCGCGCTTGTCCATCCTGATGAAACTGAGCCAAAAATGGGCAGAATACTTTTGTACCACTGGAGCGATGGAAAGCTAACACAAGTCGCAGAGAAAGAAATCAAAGGATCATGTTATTCTTTAATTGAATTCAATGGGAAGCTTCTCGCTAGTATCAACAGCACTGTTCGTCTGTTCGAGTGGACAGCAGAGAAAGAGCTCAGATTAGAGTGCAGTCATTTCAACAATATCATTGCCCTTTATTTGAAAACCAAAGGAGATTTCATTTTAGTTGGAGATCTTATGAGATCTCTCACGTTACTGCAATATAAAACAATGGAAGGCTGTTTCGAAGAAATAGCAAGAGATTACAATCCAAATTGGATGACTGCCATTGAAATATTAGATGATGACACTTTCTTAGGCGCTGAGAATTGCTTTAATTTGTTCGTTTGTCAAAAAGATAGGTAAGATATTAATTTGATAGATTTTCATTAATTCGTTGAAACATAAAATGAGAAATTAAAAATGCATTTTAGTGCCGCCACTTCTGAGGACGAAAGACAACAGATGCAGGAAGTTGGACAGTTTCATTTAGGCGATATGGTTAACGTTTTCCGACATGGGTCGTTAGTGATGCAAAATTTAGGCGAGTCAAGTACACCCACGCAAGGCTGTGTATTGTTTGGAACTGTTAGCGGCGCGATTGGTTTAGTTACGCAAATTCCATTCACATTTTACGAGTTCCTGAGAAACCTTGAAGACAGATTAACGAGCGTAATAAAAAGTGTTGGTAAAATAGAACACAATTTTTGGAGAAGTTTCAACACCGAATTAAAAATCGAGCAGTGTGAAGGTTTTATAGATGGAGACTTGATCGAGAGCTTTCTTGACTTGAGTCCCGATAAAATGGCAGAAGTTGCAGGTGGTCTTATGGTAAGTAAAATTGTTTCTTACATTATTATATGTATATAATTCATCGTATTTTTAACTTACTTTCTTACTTACAGATCGACGATCCTAGTGGAATGAAAAAAGAAGCAACGGTGGATGATCTTGTAAAAATAGTAGAAGACCTTACAAGAATACATTAGATGTAATCTTTTGGTTGATTTGTATAGTTTATTATATTTTGAAAAGCTCGTTAAGGAAAATAGATTGATAAGGAAAATTTTAAATGTTTGGGAATCAAATTAAGAAATTTATATACAATTCTAATCTATTTAACATTAATAGTATAAGAAAGTAGGAAAGTAAATTTTTCTTTTTTTCCATTCTTGTGAAAATATTTTATTATGTACGCCTGTAGTCTTTTATCTTAATTTTGATTATATTATAGTGAAAGTTTGCTTCAAATATTTGTATATGCATATACAAAAAGCTGGTCAAAAAGGTTTTAAACTTATTTCAAGAATACGTACAAATCATGAGAATTTCAAGAACTTCAATATTGTTGTACTCGTCAATATTTTAACGATCGTAAAGCTAATATATTTCTTGTAACAATTAATAACATTTGTTTAAACAGTACTTATGAATTTAAAAACTTTTTGATCAATAGTTTTATAACTAATACGACAGCTATTTTTTGTTTCTAATATCTCAGAAATGTGTCAAAGATTACTTAAATTAATAATCACATACATACGTTGATTAAGTTATAAACATCTTGTACACTCAATATTGAATATCAAATTTCTTTTGATAATACTTCCACTTTTGAATATAACAAATAGAGTAACTTGGAAACAATTTACTACTAATTTACAATTGTAATCATATTAGTGTTAATTGCTGAAAAATTATTCGTAGAATCCTTGTATCTTTGTAACATTGAGTGTAAATAATAAAAAAAAATATCCACTTTCTGATAAAATTTTTTCGTACTACATATACATTCAGTCTACTTGTTTGCGTTTATTGCAGCTTTTAAAGTAATAGGATCAAACAACCAGTTTCTTAATTCTTCGATACCTTGGCCAGTCATTCCACTAGTTTCAAATATAGTTAATTCTTGCGTAGCTTCTTTTTGCATACGCGAATAATGAAGCATAAGTAAAGCTTCATTGCGCATTTGACGATAAGAGAGATCCATTTTATTCAGTATTAATGCGATTTTTGTATTCTGCAGCGTAGGATCAACTAACAATGAGTAAAGCAATACTCCTGCCGCACTTATTTGGCAAAGATTGCTTGTATCTATCACATAAATAAGCTTCCGTGTCTAAAAATGAAGATAATAATTTAAAAAGTTATAAGAGACGTGTAAATACATGTGTAAAATCTCTTAACTTATTTTTATCATTTAAATTTTCCGAAAAGAAATTTACCTTTTTAAAATAATGTTTCCATATTGGTGCCATACTACCACCAATTTCTTTAATAATCATGTCGAATTCTCCGGTAGTGTTTTTTATTGTGAAAAGATTTATGCCATTCGTAGAAACAGTATGAGTTGCATTATCTATTTCATCTCCTTGCAATCGTTTCATTAAAAACGTCTTGCCTGATTTAACAGGACCAAGACAAAGGCACATGTTTCAACGCTTATTATACTTGTTTAAGAAATATATTCAAAAATTCACTGTGCATTTGTAAATTGTGATCATCAATTTTACACATGCATGCGTACAGAAATGTATTGATCTAACAAATGTGTTTCTACAGTGAATGAAAATATAGTTCATAGAAAATGCATATATTTTTAATCAACTTGCTTTAATTAAAACAAATGTTAAGACAATATATGAGATTCAGGTATTTCAATACACATTTCGTAACTTTCGTACAATTTAATATACAAAACTTCAAAATTGTGTACATTATTATTGCTACTTTGCATAGAAAATTTGTTCTCAAAGACAAATGTTATGAACTTTGTCAAAGATACGAGAACAGTGTTTTATTGTTACACGTAACAAATATTGGGTACACAATGAATTTATAAAGTACAACGTAGTACGTTCACTGATGTGCATGTAAATAATTATATAATTTTATAAGTACGATACAAAATGAATGAAATAGTATATGTTAAAGATAAAGCAAAATACAAAAGTGTATTCAGTATAATTTCTTTGCGTGTTGCATTTTCTTTTCTTTTTTAATTTTAGTTCATAGATGTATATAACAGATAGATCTTTCTCTTCTTTAACATATACATTTCAACTACATTTTAACATTCTTTGTTAATAACATCGGCAGAAACACATCTTTCTTTTATCAATCAACTCGCAATAATATAAGAATAAAAACAAATAAAATTATGAATTATAATCCGATGCCTAAAAAATAACATAATAAATAAATTATTAACAAACGAAATAAAATATATACTTGCAACAAAGAAACAAATCATTGTAACAATTCTTATTCGGAAAGATATGTATTCCATCAATGCAATCAAACTCACGTCTCTTAAATCTACTGATTTAATTCAAATAAATGTTTCCGTAATAAAGTTGATTTTATACACTTCAGTCCTTTGCACTCATCAAGCAAATTATGAAATGCTGTCAGCCACCTATAAATTCAATATAAAACAATAAATATAATTATTATTAGTATTTACATTGTGTTACAGTTTTTTAGATATATATTCGTACATAACGCTCCGAATACATATCCAGAATGCAAAAGAAAAAAAACAATAACAAGTGCAAAGGTTCAAAAATTTCGAACGACAAAGAGTGCGTGTCTTTGTGATCACGTTTACGTTTCTTGTATCTTTGTTAAAGAATATGAGAAAAGCATGTCACATGTTGCGCACAAGGCACAGACGGATTACCTACACTAACGCGAATTGACAAAATAGAATAAAGAACAAGAATTCACTACAGTTTTTTTTTTCTGAACATACTATAAATACTCCAATTTCGCGACATTAATAATTTATCTAATCTTCTGTACAAACGTATTTATATATTAATTATGTGCATTTTCTCTGTAAGACTATATATATACGTTGTATATTACAAAGTAAGTTCTCTGAGTCTGTATGTACAATGATTTCATTATAGACAGATTGTACTCCAAATTTAACAATGCTTTTTCTCGGGGGAGCACGACTAGACTAGAATTTATCAGTTCAAGCTTGATTCACCTTCTGTAGCAAAGATCGTACTTGTCGAGGCATTTGCCATGATTGTAAGCGTTTATCTTTGCTACCAGCTATAATCTAGAACAATAAATTTGTCGGACGTTAGACTTGGTGCAACATTCCAATAGTATTTTAACAAGATATTTCAAATACCTTATTGTCTATAACTTCCATGCTTAACAACATATTACCAGGTCCAGGTATGCTACATAGATACTGATGATCCTAAAATTCGTTCGAAAATTAGTACAATCTCTCTTAGAACGGACATCAGTGTTTTAATTTCATATTTTAACCTTTGTGTCAAATACATAAATATTTCCGTCATAACAACCAGCAAACAATAGTTGTTTGTACAGACGCATGCACACGATTCCTACGCCAGCATTGTACTGCATCGTTTGTTCGCCATTCTACAAATCAAAACAAGGTGAATTTAATAAATTTCACACGACAATAAAACATTATCAACGCACATGTATTTTTACAAACCGTAAAATCAAAGACTGGTATAGACGTGCTACTCGTGCCACAGTAAATTAAATTACTATTACGCATTAGGCTGTACACAGTGTGACTTTTTTGGCCACAAATTGTGCGAAGGAATAGGCCGCTCTGAGCATCTCGTATTGTTATCGGTTGACTACGCGACGCTACAATAAGAACTCTTCGTGGACCCTCGTTAGTTGCTTTTAAAGCTAACACAGACTTATCCGAGAATTGTATACTGTCTCCTTTAATAACGCCCGTCTGAAATATTTGTTGTAATGATAATATTCATACATATAAAGATAATTTTTATTTATGACATTCTTCAACAAACCTTCATATGATAACGTGATACATGGCCTGACTTGGTGCCAATGAAAATTATTCCCCATGCCTCGTCCATACATTGTATAGGACTACCTATGTCTGCTGTGTCTCTCACTTGTATTCCAGTCTAACAAAGTTTATTCACAGTGTGTAATATAATATATAACGAAAAGATACATTAATAATATGCTGTGCTATATCAACAAAACATGTTATCTCACCATTATGTTGTAACATCGCAATGTCCCATCCAACGAGCCAGAGAACATCCATTCTTTGCTAATGTCTGTACTAATTACATTGTACACGTATAAACATGTTACCGCCGCTTTGTGACCTTTGTAGATATTTAATATTCCGTTAGATGCCTGATTATACCTATAAATTCTGCCGTCTTCACTTGCAGCTAGGAATGAATTTTCAAAAACCTAGAAGACATACTTCATTTTCAAATTGTTAAATCTGATCTAACTTGTAGCGCAGGGATTCTCATAAAAGTTATCTGTAGTGCCAATCTCGTGGTCATAGGTAGAAAAAAAAAAGAAATAAAAATGACAGAAAGTTGCATTGAAATGTACAGAAATACAGTTATAAGCAGAAAATGGTGAAGGACAATAATTGGCGAATATCTGAAAATACTAGAAACTTTTTTAGATTTTATTAACACTTGTTTTTCATGTTTGTACACTCTGTCATATATATACCAATAGAATATCTTACAATGAAAAACAAAATGTTGACAAAAAATATAGTATTTCTGTAGACATAGAAAAGATAATGTTTCTCTCATTTGTAACAAGAACTAAAAACATAATGTTACTTTGTTTCACAGAAACAAAAAA